ATAGCAGAACCTCTCATGTTCTTCAAGACACCCTTAAAGTAAAAATAAAGTAAAAGTAGTGAAGTAAAAACACCAGTATTGTTCAATACAATATACAGTACAGTTAAAAGCAGCTATTTCAATATATTTGAAAACAGTGTGTTCCTGTGATGACAAATTTGACTCTTTTTTCATTGTTCCATTGTTTGTGCTTCAGGAACACAGTTATCGTGTGTGTGTATGTGTGTGTGTATATGTGTGTGTACATGCATGTGTGTTTCTCTCAGTGTGTGTAGATGTAGAGTAATGACTGCAAGTACAAGCAGGTATCTTTAATTGTGTCTGCGCTCAGTAGATGTGATTTGTCTGTTTTCGTCCTCGACTTTATGAGAGACTGCAGCACCTCTCTTGTTCTCCAAAGATATACCAATCAACGTTTATTATATGGATACGTAAAAGATGCACCAAATTAAATTATAGTGTAATGGATTGCATTATATGATAATACATGGGCTGTTACTTTCCATATATATTTCATTCATTAATTTTCCTTTCCGCTTAGTTCAGGGTTCCGGTAGTTCGAAAGACCCACCCCTCAGTGACAAAGTCCAGAATTTGCATATACAAGCTCATTTGTCCTATGTTGACTGCTATGCCATCACACAATGTGAATATAACTAATCAAAGAAGGCTTTAAGACTAAGTGTAACCTGACATAAGTGAAGTCATCTTTCACTACTGACCTAATGTATTGTTGTTAAATAGAAAAATACAGTTTACAAGTAAATTTTTTTTTATAAATCTTGGACCTTATTCTTTTTTTTCACCTTTAATATGATAGGACAGTAGATATTTCAGACAGGAAAGTATTATAGGAGGAGAGAGGGGGAAATAATCGGCAAAGGACCTCGAGCGAGGAATCGAATTCGGGTCACCGCAAGCACGTCACTGCTATATGTCCATGCACATTACCAGGCGCTGACTTGGACCTTATTCTTGAATGAAAAAATGACAGATAAAATAAGTGAAGCACTAAAATATAAATCTAAAACATATTAAAGTTAATTTTTAATACTAATTAGACTATTGTTGTTATCTATGAATTTTGTTTAAAAAATTTTATTATTCAAATGACCAAATTTACACAGAGGAAAGTTGAATGTGCAAGTGAGTTTGCTATTTGCCTAACAAAAAAAAACAATAGACTACAGTTTTTAATTTAAAACTTTAACAGATAATTTTTTTTAATGTTATGATGTGATAAATTAGTATTTTAAAAATAATAAGTATAGTTAAGTATTTTTTAAACCTATTTCTTTTTTCTAAATAATTAAGAAATGCTTTTGGTACAATACAAATTGTGGTTATAACCAGTCGACAAGCTAATCCTGATAAAACAGAGCTTAAAATGTCACTAAAATGCAGTATTGAAACCTCAAATGAAAATAAAAATTATATATATATATATATATATATATATATATATATATACATACATACACACATTTTTTCAGCTCCTTTCACCATGCTGGCTACGGACAAAAAGCAATTACACACTAATGTAGTGCAGTCTTTATCTTCATAGCTGTATGTATATTTTGATATGCATCTGTTCCATGCAGTATATTAAAATAAGCTCTAATTTCCCATTTGGACAATGAAAACATATATATTGCGTTAGATTTTCCATTAAATGTTCTTTAAAAAATAAATCTACAATATCAACACCAACAAGAGAGCAGCACAATGGCTTAATATTCATCTACGTTACTTCCCCAGAGCGATGAAAGACTGCGGCAGCTTCTGCATAATCTTGTTTCCGTTGCTCAGAGTTTAGTCCCATGTGCCACGCCCACTCTATAGTAAGCCCCGCCCCAGATTACATCATCAACCCAGGACACGTTTGGCACATGTGCCTGCAGCAGAGACTGGACGTCCCGTCTGTGACACACTGATGGGTCTATAGATAGAACTGCAATGATGGAGCTGGAGAAACAGAGGAGGAGCAGGTCTGAATGCTCAAGTGGAGGAGCGGGTTCTTGAGGGTTTGCAGCAGAAACGTTGATTAGGGTTGTTGCTAGAAGGGATAGAGCTGCGGGCGGAAGTTTACAATAATTATTTATGCTGTTTATCATTTATATTGTCTATTAAATTAACCATTTTTAACTTCTACCCTCACATTAGTGTAAAAACAGTAATTACATCGATTATTATTCATATTATACTCTGACTCAGTTGTATTTTATTACGCCCACCACCCCCAGCCCTCGTAATGGAAAACAGTAATTGTTGTACTGTTTGTGGCACAAAAATTATGCTATATTGATCCACAGCTGTATGCTATCTAAACCTTAACGCTTATTATCTATGGCTTATTACTCACCCACTCAGTCCAGCTGCTTCCTCTCAGACAGGATTTGGGTCACACAGACACTGTCAATGGACACACACACACCCTTTACAGAAACACGTCGACTGCCTCCCACAGGCTCCAACACTGCGGGAATATGTGTATGTAGATTATGATCATTCAACAGCCATCCATTTAATCATTTTCTTTTCGTCTTAGTCCCTTTATTCATCAGGGGTCGCCACAGCGAAATGAATCGCCAACTTATCTAGCATATGTTTTACACAGCAAATGCCCTTCCAGCTGGAACCCAGTACTGTGAAACATTCATACACACTCATTAACACACATACAATACAATTATTCAATTCACCTATGGCGCATTTCTTTGAACCGTGGGAGAAACCCCACGCAAACACTTATTATTATTATTATTATTATTATTATTATTATTAAATTTTACATTAAAAAGGAAATTACAATATAATGCTAAACTTTTTTTTCTTTCATAAATTGGCATCTGCATAAGGGGTTATATTATATCATATTATATTAAATATATTATAGTCATGTTTTTATTACAAAACATCTGGCTGTGTACATGAGGGAACTTTGAAGGGGAACTTATTATATCATTCATTTTCACTGCATTAAAGTAAGTTATATGGTTATAAGTTATATGTGGCATATGATTATAAAACAGTTGTATCTTTTTATTATATTACCTTAATACGCTATAAGAGTATTGCAGTACACCATAGGCGGCATTTCAATATGCACATTTTTGCATTTCAGTCTGCAAAAAAAAAAAAAAGACAAATTTAAGACAGTAAAAGACAATAAGGTATATTTGGTATGATTAATAAATTAAAATAAATAATAATAAAATTAACATATACATACACAGAATTGTCAAACAAATTTAATAAATAATAAAACAAAGCAATAAATTTAACAAAAATAATTACACTTACCCACATACAAAAATTATGAGATATTGCTAAAAACCCAGATATGCATATAACCATGGTTTGTTCTGTAGGCTATTGAAAAAATATATAACTTAAAGGGGCTAATAATTTTGAAAATAAAATCCTGTTTAAAAATTAAAAACTGCTTTTATTCTTACTGAAGTAAAACAAATAAGACTTTCTCCAGAAGTAAAAATATCATCAGACATACCATAAAAATTTTCTTGCTCTGTTAAACATCATTTGGGAAATATTTTTAAAAGAAAAACAATTAAAAGTGGAGCTAAAATTATGACTGCAATTGTATATATAATGTAAAATATATATTTATTTTTATATATTTATATATAAATCTCTATATATACAATTTAGAATTTATATGAATATAATATATGGTGAAATATCAATATCAAGGATAGTAAAAACAATAAAGTAAGAGGAGGTTACATTTTATTTTAGGGTGTTTTGTGCTATTCATTTAGTGAATAATATTAATTAACTACATTCATGATTAGGGTTATGAATTTCAGTTAGGTTGCATGCAATTATGTATAATTAATTATAATCACTATACATGGATTATATGTAACAAAGACACTTTAAAATAACATGTTACTAAAAATGATACTTAAACACTGAATTAGACACTTCTCTCCATGCTTTGGTATTCTACATCTGTCAAAAAACAATCCCTTAAGCAGATTTAGTTTGTGCATTTCCATTATAATAATTCTTAAAATTTAAATTGAAAGCCAAACTTGCAAGTTCAAATTTGTTAAATCAGCGTCATCAGTGTCCAGACGAATGACTGTATAAAATGGTCCAGACAAACTCTGTCCACTGTGAAAGTCTGACCTCTAGAGGTGACCAACAGAAAAAGACAAATTTCAATACGGTATATTCACAGTTTAAGACAAAAGTCTTAGACCTCCTTTAAAACTTAATTTTTTTCAAATGTTTCCCAAGTGCTGTAAAATTTTTTAAAACACATTATTATACAATATTTTTATAATAATTTCCAATAACTCATTTCTTTTGTCATTTCCATGATGACAATATTTTACAACATACTAATATTCAGCTTAAAGTGCAATTTAAAGGCTTTACTAGGTAAATTAGGTTAACTAATCTTGTCACTGGACAACTGTGGTATGTTCAGTGGCCATTTAAAGAAAAAATGCTTCCTAAAGGAGCTAATAATATTGACATTAGCAATTAAAAATAATAATTCCAGCCAAACTTTTAGAAAAAAAAACTTAAAATATAAAAAGAATTACAATGTGACAAAATTACATATACAAATAATTTTAGGTTAACATATGCATTTTTGTTTGAGTCTCTTTTTAAAATTTTCATATTTTCTGAATGTTATAATCATTAAGTTCATTAGATTTGAGTGTTTCTTTTCTGTTGTCTTTTCCCCTCTCTTTGTTATTCCTGTTACACATTATTATCAGTCTGCTATTTTCTCAAGCCTTTTATGGCTTTCTTTTTCTTGTTCTCGTGCGTTTACTGCAAAGCGCCCTTGAACACTGGAAGGGCACTACATAAAACAAGCTTATTATTATTATTTTATTCTTTACATATATACGTATTTTTGTGCATTTATGAAGTGGTGCCATGTACATCTTCTCAAAACAAACAAACAAACCAAAAAAACTTAAATAATATCTTTAAAATAAAAGGTTACAACCTAAAATTGATATCACAATGCTCATGATTAAAATTTTCCACAATATTATGTTAAAAAAAGTATTATTTATTGCTGAACATCTTCATATTCTAATTGGAAACCAGCAGTATGCATTTACCACAAGCACGCACACACACACACACACACACTCACCAGTTTACAGTCATCCCCTATTGCAAATTTGATTATGAAAATGCATTCAAACCCAGATGGAAATTTTATCTTGCCTTGTTTAGCTCACAAAAACACAAACGGTGAACGAGGTGAATATCATCGGAAGGATTTGCTGTGAATTTTTTCAGCATTTTTAATGATTGTTCACTCTGTTTTTGTTTTTTTTTGTTTTTTTAGCTTTTCCATGTCGTCTGATGTTATGATTAGATGAGGATGAAGGCATGAGAGATAATGGAGGTTTTACCGTGCAAAACCACAGCATAAGAAAAAGTGCTGAACGCAGACTGCAAGAGGAATAACATAATCTTCAATACTGCGATATATTTCCAGAACCGGAACCGAACTGTGACTCACTGAACATACGCAGCACCCTTGTGCCTGCAGGTAATGTTGTGTCCTCAACATTTAATCAGAAATATTGTTGAACTTCTTAACAAATCATGTAAATGGGCTTCTTTTTGATAACAGCTGGAGCCTCAAACACTCAAAACTGAATTCAACTTGTGTAATATAAACAAACAAAACTACCAAACTACCAGAGATTTGATGATTCTTATCTAATGAGGATTTTCTGCTCTATTATGATCAATTATTATTGGTAAACAAGCATTACTAATGGTCCTTATTGTTAAAATTGTTGACAGTTTTGCATATTTTTGTAGAAACTCAAGATGCTTTTAACTTTTTTTTTATTCTTTGATGGATAGAAAGTTTTAAACCATTTTACATTTAATGTGTTTTCAATGTATTAATGCATTTTATAGAGGTAAAATTTTTGAAATTTTATTTTTAAAGGGTAATATGTCATGGTTCGACAAGAATAAGAAGCAGCACAACTCTTTTCATCCTTTACTATAGTAATCAATGTTTCTTGATCAATGTTTTAAGCTTATTAAAATAATTTCTGAAGGGTCATGTGACACTGAAGACTGGAGTAAAGATCCTGAGAATTCAGCTTTAAATTGCATAAATATACTTAATCTTTACATATTTTCACTTAGAAAGCATCTATTTTAAATGTAAATAGACTGTAATGGTATTATATTGAATATATTTAAACATAAAATAAATAAATAAAAAAAGTAATGTTTCAACACTTTTGACACATTCAAAAGCAAATCAGTTGATTCCCATTAAAATATCAAATAGAATGTTGGTACCTTTTTATATATACTGCAATGTTTTACAATGCCTGATTTCTTTAGATCATGCATTTTCTGAATACATAAAAGAGGTGCTGTCAATTTCACTACAAACTTAATAACTTCTATATAACTTAGACCTTAATTTATTATATAACTGCATTATAAAAAATATGATCAGTTAGTCCTGACAGCACGTTTTAGCTCATTGTAACTCATTAACCTAAGTTAATCATGTTCTAACTTAATTTTATAAGTTGTGCAAGCTGTTTCAAGTCAGTTTAACATAATATAAGTTCAATGGACTCATAAGGTTAATTTGATTCAGCCTAAAACTTTAATTAATTTACATTTAATTTTTACAGTGTGGGAAGATTGTTTAAGATCGAGGGAGCATAGTTTGAAAATGACAACAAAAGTTATTATCTACAGTTAAAATCAGAATTAATAAACCCCTTTGAATTTTTTTCACGGAAATTTTCACAGTATGTCTGATATTATTTTTTCTTCTGGAGAAAGTCTTATTTGTTTTATTTTGGCTAGAAAAAAAGCAGTTGTTAATTTTTTAAAAACATGTTAAGGTCAAAATTATTAGCCCCTTTAAGCTATATATCTTTTCGATAGTCTACAGAACAAACCATCGCTATACAATAACTTGCCTAATTACCCTAACCTGCCCAACCTAGTTAAGCTTTTAAATGTCACTTTAAGCTGTATAGAAATATAAAATAAATCAGTTATTAGAAATGAGTTATGAAAACTGTTATGTTTAGAAATGTGTTGAGAAAATCTTCTCTTCGTTAAACAGAAATTGAGGAAAAAAATAAACAGGGGGGCTAATAATTCTGACTGCAACTGTATATCAGAATATTGGGTCATTTTCCAGCACTTAACGTGATATTTAACCCAAAAAAAATAATGTTTTTTTTTCTCCTGTTGAACACAAAGAAGATATAATGAAGAATGTTGAAGAGCAGCAGCCATTTCTTTTTCTTATCCTATACAGAAATCTGATATATGGAAATTTAAGCTAATTTCCTATATGACATACAAGTTGGATTTCACAAGTATATAATACAGGTCATATATGCAACATATATTTCAGAACGGTCGATAACATTTTCTTTTCTAATATTAATTACAAATACACAAAAATATGTAAAATAAGTTCAAATATATTAGTTATTATTTAAAATATATGTCCATATATTAACATACATATTATCACTTCTAATATATTTGCACAGATTTGTAATTTTAATTGTTCAAAAAAATGTAAACAGACTTTTTTGCAATATTTTGACATGCATGACATTTTATATACCTGGGGTCCGTTCTTCGTACGTGGATTACTCAGTTAGCTGGATTTGGATATTGACGATTTGACACGATCCAGGATCGTTTCGTTCTTCAAAGCTGATCCGAGAGTTGTTGTCATAGCAACAGTTCTGCTAGGTCAAACCTGATCGGGAGCAGGTTCAATTCATATAAACAGGATTAGATCGGCTCAGTTCAAGCAAAGATAATACAGAAAGTATGCTCCGAATTCTGATATTTTCTTACAGTAGTAGTTATATACACTTGGGAAAATTGTACATATTTTTTAACTATATATATATATATATATATATATATATAAAGTTATAGTCATTAATAAAATAAATAAAGTTATACATATTATTAAAACGTATGCAATCTGCACCCTCGAAATGAAAGTACAAAGATTGCCATCTGGTGCAAAGAGAAAACTTATTGATATGAACTTTTTAGATCGCTTTAGTACAAATAGTGTATAATAGAAATGCACTATATGTGACTTTTTTTTAAAAGCAATAATACATTTATGCAGTCATAAACATGTTTTGATAGTTAATATGACGGTGATTTGATGCTTCACAAAAGTTGCAGACACCTTTACCAATATGAAAATGTTTTTGGAAACAACCAGTTATTCTTTGCACCGATTAAAAAACGGCTACTATTATAAAGAAAATCTTTTCTAAACGTAGAACTAAATACATTTATTTGCATTGAAATACATGATGAATACTCTTGTCTTGACAAATGAAAGTTTAAGCCTGCAGCTCACAACAAATGTGGAAGGTTATTGCGTGTCATATTTAACAAGCCGTTTACTGCTAATTTGATGTAATTTTGTTCACATGGATAATTGAATATTAATCAGATGATGTCATTACGCTGCTGTGCCGTCAGCCAATCGTTGCATTGCTGATCATGATTTCGAGGATCGATAGATCTGTCCTTCACAACACACGCAGCGATCTCAGATCAGTTCATCCAGACATTCTAATCTGATTCGCGAACTTGTTTGAAGAACCAAATTAGCGAGAGATCAGTTATCAACATTAAAAGATCCAGGATCTGCCAAATAATCTTAGATCATTTAAGCGAGGTACGAAGAACGGACCCCTGAACTCCAAACATGAACTTGTATGTTTACATGTCATTTCAATATATTCCTATATCCTGGATCAGCTTCTATGGATGTCAATGGCTGCTTTTCACCCAACATTTTTCAGAATATGTTGTTTTGTGTTCAACAAAAGAAGAATTCATAAATGTTTAGAATCAATAAATGGTGAGGAAATGTTCATGTTTGAATCAACTGTCTCTTTATTGGTGCTTGTGTATTTGTTTATGTGGACAATGATTAGAAAGCCTGCTTTGGGTGTGTTCTTCAGAAATGAAACATTACCTAACTATCTGCAAAGAGGAGTTCTATGGAAATTGGCACGAAAATGTGCATAGCATATTTGTGTTGCAAAATCACTAAATCAAATTTACCTAAATCACATAATCAAATATAACAAGATCTTCAAAGCCTGGTTTGTTTAATGTGCTAAGTGTTAGTACACCTACAATTCCAGTTAGAGGTTGACACTCCTTTTCATTCTATTATTATTGCTATAGTTTTCACATTTTGGAAACCTGTTAAGCAATGAAAACTATTACAAAACAATTATTTATTGTAGGGATGCACCAATATCGATACCAGTATCGTTTGATATTTGGCTAAAATACTTATACTCGTACTTGTATTGTACATGAAATGCCGATACCACTCAACAGTATTTCACTATGTGGATGTGATTTGTTGTCCTACCAGACTTTAATGTCTTAATGTATTAATTGATGCATTGCATAATAATAGCTTAGTCCTTTTAAACAATCTGTTTATAAAATACCTAATCAACAATAGGCTACTTAGGAATAAACCGAATAAGCAATCTGATCCTTGCATAATAATCACAGTAAAACAAGCTAGCGCTCATTTCATATACAAACTATGAATAAAGAAAATTTTAAGTAATGGAACATTTTATGTAAAAAATCAAAACTATCTTATGTAAACATTCTATCGGTCCCCAATATGCAATATCAAGAGAGTGACTCCATAAGGTAACGTAAACTGCACACACTTGATTATGAAGTCATGGATGCATGCCAACGCAAGGATAGCTAATTCTTTAAATGTCCATGCTTAATCGGTAATCGATAAGGTCTATTGATTTAAAGGGTTATCAACAATGTGTGTATAATTTTGACTTGGAATAGCCTTTTGTTAAAGATTTTTGTGTTCATACTTGCTACAGGCAAAAAAAGAAAAGAAAAAAAACTCTTTTCAAATGAATTGCACTTAACGGAATCGGTACTCGATATCGGCAAGTACACAAATTAAAATACTCATACTCGTATCGGTTTGTAAAAATAAGTGGTATCGGCTCATCCCTAATTTAATGTATAACCTCAAAAATGTGAAAAACGCTGCACAGGTATAATACAAAAAATGAGTTTAGCAAATTTTGGTTATTTTTAGTCAAAATGACTTTTTAAAAATGAACAAATGGATAAATTAATAGTTTTGTAAAGAAATGCATTTGAAGGCCCAATTTGTATTTTATGTATTAAAACACTTAATCTATTAAATCTTTAGATCATAGAATCTGTGTTTCCAAATGTTTAACTGCTACTTTTTCACACAGTAACTAAATGGAGTCAGTATTAGATAGCTAAAAAAATGATGAGCAAAGTGTGGTTAGTGCTTTCACAGGATTTTGAATAACAATACAGAGATGAACAGAGCAGGAAAAGGCCACAGAAGCTTTGCTGAAGAGCTGGGTGTTCATAAACTACAGTGATTAAGAAGATAATTAAAAAAGCAGGATTAGGATTGAGTTGTAGACAAGATTATGTCTGGAGTTAAGCTACTGTAGCATTGCATTTGTGCTGTTAACTCAGCATTCCAGTGCTATGTTAAGTGCAGTGTAAGTTTATGTGTTGTTAGAAATTATGAAAATTAACCATGGATTTAATATATTCAAAGTGTAGTAGCAATGTTTTTTAGTTTTATTTTTGGCAGATAAATTACCATTTGTACAAACACAGTTCTCAAGTCAAATAGAGAAACGTTTAGTTTTACTACAAAACTATGTTTAAAATAAGCTTATACTGTGGTGAAGCTATTATTCATTTATACAATTGTTTAACTACATAATCAATATAATGTAGGTTTTATGACAATAACTATGTTTCCATCCAAAGATGCAAATTAAATGTATGCTCAATGCAGGAATATTGCATAAAAAACATGCGAATAAAGCAGCATTTCCATCCAATCAGTCAAAGATAACGAAATCACCACTTCCTCATTATCTGGCACCAAATATCAACAGTAAAAACGCAATTTGCTGTGGTAGGAGAAGCTGCGTGAATCTTTTATTTATTTAATAAATTACTTGCACCTCAGAAGACAAATGTCGACATGCAATGAGCGCATGGTGGCGTTTGAAGTCGTGAGATGCACAGCACAAATGCTCTTGATTCTGGAGGTCATTAATAATATAATAACACTAACACTGAAATGATTAAGGTGTTTTAGAATGACTAAAACAACATTTTAGATGTGCTCAGCCAGCTGGTTTGTCCATTCGCACACTTTTATCATCACATGATTTCTTATGTCAACATCACATGACCTTTTTAATGCGCATACTAGAATTTGTTCATAAAAGTGTTTCCATTGTATTTTATACAGATCTTTTCTTATCGAAAAATAATTTATAGGATAGTTAATCTATAAGTTTTTTATGCACATTTTTAAAACTAAAATGCGCATAAAAATAGTTGAATTGAAACAGCTGTAGACCCCAAACATAGACAAGAAAAATCTCAATTGCTTTTAGAAAAAGAAAATAAAGCTGCTAGACTGGCCCAGCCAATCACCTGACTTGAATCCAATACAATATAAGATTGAAAGCTGAGACCTACCTTTAAGATTTGTAGAAGCTGTTGAAGTCATACCTGAGAAATGCATGTGAATCCATACAAGAGGCATCTTGAAGATGTCATTACCAAAAAAAAAAAAAAAAAAAAAAGAAAGTCCTGATTTCTGAAAAATAAAAAGATTGGTTTATTTGCATGTTTGAATTTTTTCCAATCCACATGTTCAATACTTATTTACCCGCTGTTTAAGGAGGTTAACTAAAGGTTTAGGAAAGTAGAATTTATCTCTCAGCTTTTAATACCAGGTATATGAACCATTCAATTTGGGAGTTGATTTACTGTTGACCACTGGTAAAGTATGGAAAGTGTGGAGTGTGAAGTATCAAAAGTAGCTACATGAAAAGTTGGGTGGATCTAAATGATGTTAATCAATTTTAACGTGAAAAATAGCTTTTTTTTTTTTTTTTTTTTTTACATAGATTGTGTTCATTTTTTACAGTGGCTTCAATCAAAATAAACCAACAATACAATTTTAGACCACATTTTGTTATGTTTGCAGATAACTGTAAATGGTTCACAAGCCTATTCTTGTTACAGTAAATCCACAGACAACTACACGTGTAGAACAGTAGGACTTTGGAGTCTTTCTCATTTGGTAAAATGTAAATGTACAAATTAGATTGTAAAATCAATGTAATTTGACTTGTAGGGCAGCGGTACTATGAACCCAGAGCTGCCGGAGGCCTCTGAACAGGATGAAGACACCAAAAACCTGTGGAACGTCCTCTACAGGCGACAACAGCTCCAAAACCGCCTTCAGTTTCTACAGGAGATCCAAAAGAAGAACAGAATAGAGGGTAATGGAAAGAAAACTCATAAAATCCCAATGGTGAAGTACTGTCAAATCTGTATTATGATTTTCCAAATAAGTGCTATTTTTTGTTGCTACTCAATGTTAGGAGAAATCAAGGATTTAATAATGCAGGTAACACTAAGAATTTAATTTCTTAGATCTAACCAAAACACCTCAAGTGAAGGAAAAAGAGCAAATGAATAGTTCAATGTTCAGTGTAAATGAAGCCCGGAGGAGACCGGTGGAACAGTTCCTGAGGTTGGCAGACTTGCAGCGTGGTGAGTGCCTGTGCTTAGTGGGTGGAGCGGCATTCGGCAGACCATGTAAACATTACCTTAGTGGAAGTGAGAGCTGTTAAAGAGTGCAGCAACCGAGTTCCTGACGAAACGCCTATAGAAGTTGGTGACCCCAAGAACCGCTGCAGAGCTTTTCTAGAGTTGGGTGTTGGCCACTCAGCCACGACCTTTACCTTAGTGGGATCAGCTTTGATCCCCTCCGTTGAGACTATCTTCCCAGGAACAAAACTGACTTGGTGTGGAACTTGGTATGTCCGCCTTGACATACAGCTGGTTCTCCAGCAGTCGCTGCAGCACCTGACGAACATGCTGAGTGTGTACCTGCTTAGACAGGTAAAAGATGAGGATATCATCCAGGTACACAAAGACAAATCTGTTTACCATGTCCCTTAGCACATCGTTGACCAGGGCCTGAAAGACAACTGGGGCATTAGTGAGCCCAAAAGGTAAGACCAGATATTCGAAGTGTCCCGTGGGCGTGTTGAATGCCGTCTTCCACTCATTCCCCTCACGTATCCGGACCAAATGGTAGGCATTGCGGAGGTCTAGTTTAGCAAAGACCTTGGCTCCCTGCAATAACTCAAAGGCCGAAGACATCAGCGGCAGAAAGTACCTTTTTTAACCGTGATGTCATTGAGGCCTCTGTAGTCAATACAAGAATGCAGAGAGCCATCTTTCTTTTTAACAAAGAAGAACCCTGCCCTGGCTGGAGAGGAAGAGGGGCAGATGAGATCAGCTTTAAATGATTCTTGAATGTACCTGTTCATGGCCTCTCTTTCAGGAAAAAAAAAGGGAATACAATCGACCCCTGGACGGAGAAGAGCCTTACTCAGACTTACTGAAGACCCAACGCAGATCGTGGTTTTCCAACGAGACTCCAGAGAGATCCACTGCTTCAGCCTGTAAGACATGAGAGACAGGACCCAGACACGGAGCAGAACCCAAACACAAAGCAAGACAAGACGGATTCAAAGATAACACAGAATTACATAACCAATCAAGATAAGGATTATGTTTGGTTTACCAAGGGTGCCCCAAAACTATGGGAGAACTTGGGGTGTCAAAAACATACAAACTGATAACCTCACGATGATTGCTCGAAATAACTAGACTTATGGGAGGAGTGGAATGGGTGATGGAGGTGTTGGTAAGACCATTTAGGGAACGAACATAGATGGGTGAGGAAAGGGGACTGGCAGGAATGCCCCAGGCTTTTTTTTTTTGTACTGCTGTCAATAAAGTTGCCTTCGGCTCCACAGTAGATGAGGGCAGAACATGAGTGCACGACATCTCCAAAGTGTGGCTGGCAGTGAGGTGCGATGCATGGGGGTGTCAGAACAGGGGAGTGTGCCCACCAGTATCCCCCTCTTTACTGGTAAGCGGGGGCTTTTAAAGGATGCCAGGCTGCCTGATGGCCTGGTCTCCCGCAGTACAGACACAGCCTCTTAGCCAGACGATGCCGCTTCTCCTGGGTGGTCGTTTGCAGGTGTCCTAGCTGCATAATCTCTTGATCTGAAGCCAGTAAAAGTGGATGGGACAAGCTTGAAACTGCCTCTTCCAGCCCCCAGGGAAGACGGGTCATGCGCCGATGTTGGCGGCGATGGAGACGCCGCTCCACTCAAAGAGCCAGATCGACCAGTGCATCAAAATTATGGGGAAGATCATGAGTGGCAATCTCATCCTGAATATCGTCATCCAGGCCATTCTGAAACCTCGCTCGAAGAGCTGCCTCGTTCCACGCACAAGCAGCAGCCAGAGTCCTGAATTGGATCAAGTAGTCAGTTACGGAGCGTTCGTTTTGACTAAGCTGGGCCAAAAAGGAAGCCGCCTCATCCCCCTGAGCTGATCGATCGAACAGCTTAGTCATCTCCTATCGAAACTCATCGGAAGTGGCACAAAATGGAGCCCGAGCATCCCACACCGCCGTGGCCTAGTCGTGGGCCCTGCCCTTCAGAAGAGTTCTAATGAAAGCCACCCTGGACTACTCTGTGGCTTAGCGAAGTAGCTGGAGCACAAACACCAGTGAACACTGTGATAAAAAGGATTGACAGCAGCTGGGATCACCGTCGTAGGTGTATTGTTAGCATGTGGCTCATGTTCTGGGTGGAGGAAAACAGCTGCCTGTCTGCCGACTCCGACATTCAGCTGGAGCTCCTGGACTAACGTGTTCAGTTCGGGTACACATCCAGTCAGGAACTCAACCTCCTGTAAAGTAGCTGTTAACTGGGTGGCATGTTGCCACAGAAGGATGCCTTGCTGTGTCACTGCGTTCCGAACTTGATCAGCACCCGCTGAATTCATATTTTGTTCTGATCACTTAGGAGAAATCACAGATTCAGTAATGCAGGTAACACTCAGAATTTATTTTCTTAGATCAAACCAAAAAACACCTTAAGTAGAGGAAAAAGAGCAAATAAAAAGTTCAATGTTCAGTGTAAATGAAGCCCGGAGGTGACCAATGGAACAGTTCCTGAGGTTGGCCACACGGTGGCAGACTTGCAGCGTGGTGGGTGCCCGTGCTTAGTGGGCAGAGCGGCATGACGGCGTGTTCGGCAGACGATACGGCTGGAAGACGGAGGTGAGGAGATGCTAGTGGGTGGAAGATCGATATGGGTGGAATCTAAAGACCACAAAGGATCGGTGGTTTGATCTGACACCAAAACGGTGGGTCTGAGAGGGCAGAGGAGAGATAAGTAGAAGGGGCAGGAATGAAACTAAAACTAAAGTACTAGGAGTCTAGAAGATTGACAGGACACGACAGGAAAATGATCATACTATACAGATCTCGAGCGAATTGCATAGACAACACACAAAGACGGTCTGACAAAAGGTGAAGAGACAAAAGGGATTAAATAGGAGATGAAATCAAGGAACCGCAGGTGACAACCCTGATCGCTAATGAAAATATAATAGGATAACAAAAAGGCGGGGAAGAAACACGCTAAGGATGGAGCACATGGCGAGTAGTCATAACAAAAGTCACATGCTCCGGAAGAACATGCAGACAACACACATGGACAACAAATCACAAGGAAGCAGGTCAGGACACACTCTTAAAACTCAAATGTTTACATGCCTCCCATGCCCTTAGATAAGGTGCAATGTCAATTGGTGCGGTGACCCGGACGGGGATGATGTTTAGGCTGTGAGTGAAATGGAGCCAAACTAGTTAACGCTATGCAGGTAAACCTCAACTAGAAGAAGCAAAGTAGTGACTAAAAGACTACTAAAGGCTGTATCTTTGTTAAAATGCACATGTTGCTGTCATGTTGTCACATGTAATGTTTTATTGATGCCATGACCCAGATGCCGTTTACCCTTGTTTAGGACACTTAACTCTTGCTTTAAGATGTAAAATGTTACATTGGTGCCATGACCCAGATGGAGTTGTTGCACCCTTGTTTAGGACACTTAAATAGATGGTTTATCGAAAAATTATATTCTGTCATCATTTACTTGTCTCAAAGAAGTTTGAGTAACCAATTTAGTAATAGTTGTGCAGGTACAGTGGGTATGAAAAGTATTCATACCGCCTTAAATTTCTTACTCTTTGTTATATTGCAGCCATTTGCTTAAATCATTTAAGTTCATTTTATTCCTCAATAATAATAATACATACAGCACCCCATGTCGATAGAAAAATAAAGAATTGTTAACATTTTTGCAGATTTATTAAAAAAGAAAAACTGAAATTTCACATGGTTGTAAGTGTTCATACCCTTTGCTGTAAAAGTCATATATTTAACTCAGGTGCTAACCATTTCTTCTGATCTTCCTCTACACCTTCATTTGAGTCCAGCTGTGTTTGATTATACAGATTGGAGTTGATTAGGAAAGCCACACACCTGTCTATATAATAACTTACAGCTCACAATGCATGTTAGAGCAAATGAGAATCATGAGGTCAAAGGAACTGCCTGAAGAGCTCAGAGACAGAATTGTGGCTAGGCAGGGATCGGGCCAAGGTTACAAAAAATAAATAAATAAAAATCTGCTGCACTTATGGTTCCTAAGTGGACAGTGGCCTCCATAATACTTAAATGGGATGACCAAAACCCTTCCTAGAGCTGGCTGTCCGGCTAAACTAAGCTATCCGAAGAGAAGAGCCTTGGTGAGGTAAAGAAGAAACAAAAAGAATAAACAAAAAGGCAGGATCATGCTGTGGGGGTGTTTTTCAACTGCAGGAACTGGACTACTGGTTGCAATCCAGGGGAAGATGAATGCAGCCAAGTACAATAAAATTCTAGACAAAAACCTTCCCCAGAGTGTCTATGACCTCAAACTGGGCTGAAGGTTTGCCTTCCAACAAGACAATGACCCTAAGCCTATAGCTAAAATAACTAAGTAGTTTCTTCAAAACAACTCTGTGATTGTTTTTAAATGGCCCAGCCAGAGCCCTGACTTAAACCTAATTGGGCATCTCTGGAAAGACATAAAAATGGCTCTCCATCAACTTTTACCATCCAACCTGACAGAACTGAAGGGGATCTGCAACAAGTAATGGTAAGGTGTAAAAAAACAAGTTGCAACCCCCACCCAAAAAAAAAAAAAAAAAAAAAAAAAACATGGCTGTATAAGATCAAAAGGGTGCTTCTATTAAATACTGAGCAAATGGTCTAAATACTTAGGACTATATGATATTTCAGTTTTTCTTTTATTAACAAATCTTTAAAAATATCAACAATTCTGTGTTTTCTGTCAATATGGTGGCTGTGTGTACATTAATAAGGAAAAATTAACTTGATTAAATAATTAAATGATTAAAATTAAATGATTTTAGCCAATGGCTGCAATATGACAAAGAGTGAAAGTTTTAAGAGGGTCGGAATACATTCTGTACTCACTGTAAATCACAAGAAGTACACTAGTGACTAAAAGGCTGCACTTTTTTACATCCATGTTTGCATTAACATGTCTTTTGCTGACAGATATGAAGTGTAACATTGGTTATGTCACCCAAATGTTGTTTTAGTACCCTTGTTTAGTACACTGTAAAATGTTACATTGGTGCCGTGACCCAGGTCTAGTTATAGCACCCTTATTTAGGAAACTTAACTTATGTGGTTAGATGTAAAGAGTTACATTGGTGGTGTGACTCAGATGCAGATTTACCACCCTCATTTAGGACACTTAACTCATGTGGTCAGATGTAAAGTGTCACATTGGTGGTGTGACTCAGATGCAGATTTTGCATTCTTGTTGAAGACACAACTGCCGTCAGATAAGAAGCCAACTTATTAGAGCCTTTTTCAACTTGATTTTAAGAGGCGTACAAGCAACTAATGCTAGAAAGTGTGGCCTGTAGAAACCTTATAAGCACTTTACCCTACCATGCCAATACTCTCGGCTGACATTGTGGAAAACTGCTATTTTTAAAGTGTATGTTGGTAGAGGCATGTTTTTCCAATGACCCAAAGTAATTTAAAACCCACTCAGTCACTATCAACTTCATACTAAGATCAACAACATTTGGTTATTTCACTGCACAATAAAACATGCAAACAATGGCGTGTCATTACTTGTTCTATCTTAATACCAAAGGAGCTGCGCCTGCTTTACCAGGAAATGAGCATTCAAATCGCAATGGCTCTACTCTGAAATCGTCTGCATGCTTACATTTGACTAGTTAGTACAAACAATAATTTGGTTGTTTTACATATTTACATCTCTTTTTGCTTTTAGAATGCCATGCAAATGAAGATGGACCTTCAGAACTGGACAGAATAGAAGAGGAGCTAAAGGAGCTGGAACAAAAGGAGAAGGACCTAATTCAGAAAAGAAGCCAATGCTTAACAACAGTATCCACAGACAAAGGCACGAGACTAGGCTATGCATTCTAAACAAACAAAACAGAAGATCAAAAACCAGTTTTTGCAATATGTTAAATATGATTCGATATTTTAAAAGATACAAATGACTGAAATATTATTGAAATTCTTTTTCTAGGTTGTGTATATTTACTGAATACTTACTGAATATTACAAAAATCTACATACTAGGGTTGGGTCGATAGACGATCCTCCACCCCGTTCCCGCAGCAACAACCCACTCGTGGAAAATACAAGCTTAGGCCCCGTTTCCACTAATACGTCTTAGTTTTAAAATGGCATTTTAGAACAAAAACGGTCCACGTCAACACTGGCATTTCTAGCTTTGACGTTCACCTAGCGTTTCTGAAAAGCCCTCCTTCCACAGCGTATGTGCATGTCTAAGCTCAAGCAGTAATCAGGTGCTTTGAGCACACAACCCCAGGAGCAGTGCATGTCAGACAGTTTATTAAGGATGTTCCACTGGATCATATTTATTTTTTTACCAATCAAGTTTGTTGACGCCATTATAACGACAAAGATCACTCTGCGTATTTATGCCAGAGTCCCTCGGAAATAGTGATTGGCAGGTGGTAATTTGTGTGTAACTTATCTTCATTTATTTATGGTTTGGTTATGGGTAAAAGAAAGACCATGTGGGTCAGGTAGTTAAAATGGTAGGCTACAAATAATTATTCATAAATAGTTAATTCACCGCCGCCTATGAAGACGATGGGATCGTCCATCACAATGTTTCACATTTGACTGCATACGATACCAAATTGGTCTACATCGCCCAACCCTACTACATCCTATGTATAATCTTTACATTTTTAGGAGGAAAAAATCATATGTTAGGCTTTGCAATTTAATTTAGACCACAGAAGCACGTGTATGAACTGTTAATCCATATTTAAGGATAATTATGACACATCATAAATGGCCAATACAAAATCATTATGTTTTGTGATATTGTGGCTTTTATGAAACTTTTTCAGTATCAGTTTTGCAAATGTAACATTATTTATTTTGTGTTAACTTATATAATATACTCTCTGTGACAGATCCAATTCAAGCTCCAATCCAAGGACTTTACGTTCTTCCCATTTCTCCTGCAGAACCTATTAATCCTGCCATCATTCTACCAGGTAATATAATGTAGTAATTTTAAATTTGTAACAGTAAATGTATGATATGTTCTCCATGTCGGATGAAAAAGCTCCAGTCCAAAGACAGTACATTCTCCACATTTCCCCAACAGAACCTATTCTGTTGAAAACTACTACAGAAACTACTCCTATAAATCCTCTGCAAGAGGAAAAAACAGGTAAAATATACATTAAGGTAGGCCAGCTAGTAGGAGCTTTGCAAGTAAATCTCACCTTAGAAACTGCCATCTTTAGCACCCTTGTTTTTGTGCCTGCTTTCCATGCTTTTAGATGAGTGTTACATTGGTGCTATGACCCAGCTGGGAGAGAGATTTGGGGGGTGAGGGTAGGTGGTAAGAGCTGTGCTGGTAAACCTCACTCGCCAGGCCTTGAGAGGTCCACTAGTAACTGATAATGCTGGCTGCTGTCTTGCAGTGTGTGTCCTTATTAGTGTGCCCCCTACTAATGCCATGAGATAAAGATCCAGCAGACACACAACATCATAAGACATTAATGATAGGTTAGATTTAGGTCGCCAATGTCAACGGACAATGTTATTTTGACGTCCAATAATGAAAACAAAATTACGTTGATATTTGGTTGATTTTAGGTTGTGTTGGAAAGTGATCAAAATCCAACGTCAAGCCAACATCTTAAACCTTGTCATATTAACATCAAACACTGACATTTATTCGTCAGTTATGGCCACCAAATTCCAATGTCTGATAGACGTCATAGTGGTAAAGTCCACACAATGTCAAGCTCTTACATCATAAGACGTGGATATTTTGTTGTTTTTAGGTTGCGTTAGAAAGTAACCAAATTCCAACGTCTGTCTGACACTGAACATTGTTGCACAAAATCCAATGTCCCACGTTGTTGGGGTACAACATTAATCTGACATCATGTTGATGTCCTGTGCCTGCTGAGGAGTGTTACACTGGTGACATGATCTTGATGAGGTTTTGGTGGGGGATTAATTGAGAACAATTAGCTAGAGCTGTAAAGCTTATCCTCACTCTCTTGCCCTTATTGGTGCATTAGTGGCTGATGCTAGAGGCTGGGGGGCGACCTTGTTAGTATGTCTTCCTCCCATGCTTTCATAGTGGTGCCGTGACTTTAAGATGCCTTAAAAGCTTATTCAAATTCCATGGCAGAACCATTGTGTGAATCCCATGGAGAAGACGTTTGTTTGAATCCCATGGCAGAAATTCTTGTTTAAATCCTATGCCAAGTCTCTCTGTCAGATGCTTCTTTGATTGCCATGCTATTCTCTGTTCCAGATGCTTATTCAGATTCCATGCTAGTATCGCTCCCAGGTGCTTGTTTGAATCTCATTTCCGAGATGCTTGTTCTGATCCCATGCTAGTTAGTTTCAGGTGCTTGTTTAAATCCCATTCCAGAGATGCTTGTTTGGATCCCATGCTTGTATCTCTTCACGGTGCTTGTATGAATCCCATTTCAGAGATGCTTGTTCAGATCCCATGCCTGTATGTTTCAGGTGCTTGTTCGAATCCCATTTCAGAGATGCTTGTTCAGATCCCATGCTAGTATATTTTCAAGGTGGTTGTTCGAATCCCATTTCACAGATGCTTGTTCAGATCCCATGCTAGTATGTTTCAGGTGCTTGTTCAAACTCCATTTCAGAGATTGTTGTTCAGATCCCATGCTAATATGTTTTAGGTGCTTTTTCGAATCCCATTTCAGAGATGCTTGTTCAGATCCCATGCTAATATGTTTCAGGTGCTTGTTTGAATCCCATTTCAAAGATGCTTGTTCAGATCCCATGCTAATATGTTTCAGGTGCTTGTTTGAATCCCATGCCAAGGATCCATGTTCAGATTTAATGCCAGATGCTTGTTGAATCCTGGGTGCCCAAAAAGCTTGTTCATATCCTATGTCAGTGATGCTTGTCCGAATACAGTTGTAACTGGAGGGGTTACAGCTGTATTATATGGCACAATATTCGGAACTGACATAAAAATAACTCAAATATTTTTCACCTTTCCAGGTTCTACAGTACCCCTGGATGAAGTCACCATGTCCCCTGCCAAAGTAAAATGCCCCTCTTGCCATAAGATTGTCACCACTGAGATTCAGTATAAACTTAGCAGCAATGCCTTCCTCTTTTGCTGTCTCCTGTCTGTGGTGGGGTGAGTACTCTACAAGGAATAATCAATAATCACACAGGCAAGATTGCTGTTGTTATGTACATAGCAAGTACTACTGATTAAAGCTAGAGTTGCTGATTATTCAGACCAACAGCACAGTTGTGAATGTGAAGCTGCTTTTCCAGTGCATGGTACGGTTCGGCTCGCTTCAGTTTTACATTTCCACAGTACAGTTTAGTATCGGTTAAAGTGGGTGAGATTGTTGGAATTGTTTAACGTCTATACTGACATGACATCATCGTAAACACAACAAAAACATGTGACACAAACCAATCCAAAACACAGAGGCAATAGCCCCTTTCACACATACACACCTTTCTGGAAAATTACCGGCAATTTTCCGGAAAGGTGTGTAAGTGTGAACAAGCTATTTTTGACAATACCAGTAAATTCGTTCTGGCTATTTTCTGGAAAGAGAAGTTGTATTATTACCGGTAATTTGCCGGAATGCTCTGTGTGAACGCAGAAGGAAGAATGCCGGAATAAGCGCATGCACGTCTAGAACGTGCTGGCGTAAGACATCTGCTTTAGCCAATCAGAACAGTCAGACGCATTCACGTTCGCGCTGTTTATGAGAATAAAAGCGTTTGAATATTTTTCCCAGACACATTTAGCTGCTAGAAATTAGTCAGATAACGTTTATATGTTCATCTTAATGCCAACTGTGTAATTAATTATCGATAAGATGTTTATGATAAGCCGTAGTTTGTTTACATTCAAGCTTTGCGTGTGCCCATAAACAGTCTATGAGCGTCAGCACACACACATATCATGTAGATCTCGACATGCGAAAGTGTTTATATGTTTTCATCGAAGTTGTTCACAATACTGATCCATCCACAGAGTTTGTGATGTAGTCAAATGTTTACAAATACAAGCGCAGCCGTTTAGAGCTCATTTCTGGTTAATGATGTCAGAATTACCGGTATTTTGGAATGGATGTGTGAACGGTCTTTTCTGGAAAAATTCCGTAACGTCCTCGCCTGTGTGAACAGCGCTTTTTTGAATTTACCGGTAAAGTCGTTCCGTGAATTTTCCATATATTAACCTGTATCACTGTGTGAAAGGGGCTAATGACTTCTACTGATGGAATGGTGTCCTTGAGCAGTGTCTACTAATGAGAATTTAAATATATACTGTCTTTTCTCGCAAATCCATTGATGCTGGTAGTGATGATAAGCAGTGTGTATACATCATGTTGGTAATTGTATGGCTCATACCGAATCAAACAATGCCTGACCATGCAGTGTAAAAGCACCTTAATAGTGTTGTAATGCAACATTTTAATGAATGTATGTTTTATTTTACAATATAGTCAGTTAATGAATTAATTTTTGTATGGCCACTAAAAACAATTAGACAAAAACCAAAGCAGAATTAATTATACATTTCTTAGCAACACTCAGTAGTGGTGTTTCTTGATTGCATCATAGTGTTTGAACAAAGTAAGCAATTAATTCTACTACTCACTTGCTTTCAGATAGTTTACAAACCAACAAAAACTTACAGGGGTTGGACAATGAAACTGAAAGGCCTGGTTTTAAACCACAAAAATTCATTAGTATAGTGTAGGGCCTCCTTTTATTGTCAATACAGCATCAGTTTGTCTTGGTAATAACAGATACAGGTCCTGTACAGTAAACAGTGGGATTTTGAGCAATTCGTCTTTCAGAATACTGGCCAGGTCACTACGTGATGTTGGTGGAGGAAAATTTTTTCTAACTTCAAAAAATACCCCAAAGTGGCTCAATAATATTTAGATCTAGTGTCTGTGCCGGTCATGGGAGATGTTCAACTTCATTTTCATGTTCATTAAACCACTCCGACCAGTCTTGCTATCTGTATGGTGCATTATCATTCAGATACATGGCACCAACTTCAAGATACAATGTTTGAACGATTGAGTGCACATGGTCCTTCAGAATGGTTTGGTACTCCTTGGCAGTGACACACACATCTAGCACAAGTATTGTGCCTACACTCTTATATTACACGGCCACCATTTTAAAACACGAAAGAGAGGCTGCTGTGGGAAGAAACCCAGAAGTATAGGATCAGCACTGTAAACATTGCAAGAACATGCTGTGGACTTCAAAGCTCCAGCTGTTGCCATGATTTAAAAGTGCATATATGGTGTAAACGTCACTTTAATATCATTCAGTTAAGTTTATTTGAACAATTAAAAGCATTAAACAAAACCACAATCTCTTAAAGAGTGTCCTCCTAGGCTTCAGTTCATGACACCAAGTTAACACTGTGGAGGCTTCCCTGCTATATAACCCAGTGAGCGATAAAACAATGCAGTCATCTGTAGCACACCCTCATGTTGTCTGTGAGAGTTGTCCCGGTACTGAAATTTAAAAAAACGTCCATTTCCTGCTAACATTTAAGCGCCGCTGAGCGAGTTCTTAAACATTGCGGATTTGCCATAGTATTCACCAGTGTTCAACAGAAATGACTGTGATTGGCCGTGAAGGCCCTCAGTTCACTAAAACGTGTGTTTATGAAAGATAGTGTTTGCTAACTAGTGCCATTTCCCTTAACTAAGCTGAAAAGGAGGTCTAAAATCTCTTTTTTTTCCACTTTTCATTCAGAACAGACCTTCGGTTCACTCTAAAGGCAGTGAAATTTTACATTTGTGTCACTTTCTCTTCCCTGATAAGATAAACACCCAGGTATGCAACATTCATGTATGACTCAGGCAATACTTCCGTGTTTTTTCCCACCGCAGCCTCAATTTCACTTTTTAAATGGCGGCCACGTAAAATCAGTCTATAGGGAATGTTATGACATTGCAGCCCAAACCATCACAGATCCAACACCATTCTTCACTTTGGTCATACAAAAGTCTGGGTGGGAAGCTTCTTTGGGGCTTCTCCACACTGTAACACCCTGATGTGGGAAAGTCAGTGAAAGTGGACTCAGAGAACAATATATGTTTCACATTGTCCATAACCCAAGATTTTCGCTCCTGGCACCATTGAAACCATTGCTTGGCACTGGCACGAGTGACCAAACGTTTGGCTATAACAGTCCGATCATGTATATAGACCCTGTGGAGCTCTCGCTGAACAGTTTTGATGGAAACTGGAGAGTTGAGGTGCACATTTAATACTGCTGCGGTTTTATTTTTTTGTGATACAATCCAGGTTACCTCCTAGACATTCCTTTTTAGACAGCTTTCTCTTGCGTGCAGTTAGATGTGGTTTTTCTTGGTGGTATGCTGATATTACCCTGGATACCTGGGCTCTTTATACATCACAAAGCAAGACTGGCAAGACACACCAACTATTTGTCCTCTTTTATGTCACCCATAATGTTATGTGCCTTGCAATATTTTAAGCAAAACTGTGCTATTAATCTGTTAATTAAACTTACACATTCTGCCCTTACTGGTGGAATGTGCATTCGATGATTGGCCAACAAGCTGGTCAAATTTAGCCATGAAACCTACAAAACTAAAAACTGGCAAGTGTTTCACACATACAGACTAGCTGTGAACAGGCCCTTTTTGAAAATACCGGTAAATTAGTTCCAGCTATTTTCCGTAAAGAGAAGAACAGAAGGAAAATTGCCAGAAAGAGCCCGTTCACATCTAGAAGGCGTCTACTTTAGCCAATCAGAACACTCAGATGCATTCGTGTCTGCGCATTTATGAAAAACAAAGCATTTGAATATTTTTCAAGACACATTTAGCTGCTAGATGTTAGTCAAATAACGTTTTGATGTTCCTTCTTTATGCCAACTGTGTAAATAATTATTAATAAGATGCTTCTGAAAAGCTTTTGTTTGTTTATCTTCAAGCTCTGCACCCTTCAGTTGCTTGACGCATTGCGTATGCCCTTGAAACACCCAGTGAGCGTCAGCACACACACATATTAAAGTGTTTCTTTATGTTTTCATCAAAGTTGTTCACAATACTGATGTATCCTCAGAGTTTGTAATGTAGTCAAATGTTTACAAATACTAGCGCAGCTGTTTAGTGGTCATTTCTGGTTAATGATGTCAGAATTTACCGGTATTTTGGAATAGATGTGCAATTGGACGTCTTTGCCTGTGTGAACAGGGTTTTTTCGAAATTACCGGTAAAGTCTTTCTGGAAATTTTCCGAATATTTACCGGTATCACTGTGTGAAAGGGGCTATTGTCCAACCTCTGTAGTCTTCCAGGTAACTAGATCATTTTTGTGAGTATTGACTTTCATTATATTGGAAAAGAAATCAAATGATTTAATACATTATTCACTCAAACGGTGCACTTGTTGCCATCTACAGGTGTTTTAATTTAAAAGACAGTTTCAGAAAAATGACAATTCACTCACCATACATTTGTTCAAAAACTATTTGAGTTTCCTCTGTTGAAAATAAATATATATTAAGAAACAGGCTGGTAGGTGGCACCCATTGACTGTGATATAATTTTTCCCCTACGGAAGTCGATGGGTCCCAGCTGCTAGCATTCTTCAACATATCTTGTGTTCAACAGAGGGAGGAAAGAAAGAAACCCATAAAGGTGTAAAACCAGATGAGGGAGAGTAAATGAAGTAATATTCATTATTTTTGTGTGTGAATCATCCCTTTAACCTGCAAAAGAGTCATGGAAAATCTCTACTATCACTTTGAAACACTAATCTGAATAAAAAAAAAAATAGCAAAGGTTTTCAAACTTCATAAATGTTGATATATTTAGATAATACAAGTTTTGTATTTTTAATTTTTATCCTTTGTGTATATGGAATCCAGTTTCTACCACATGATAAAAAAAAAGTTTAATTATTTTGATCTCACACAAAATTATACATTTTTTTTTTATCTGGAAAGTGTAAATATTAAAGCGATTGGTGACCCACATGCTATCATTTACCCACTCTTCAGTTCTAAACAGGTTTGAGTTTCTTCTGTTGAACACAAAGGAAGAGACAGTACATTGAATGCTGAAAACTGTAACCATTGACTTTCATCATGCTTGTTTTTCTTTGCAAGTGAATAGTTACAGGTTTTCAGCTTTCTTCAGAATATCTTCTGTTGTGTTGAACAGAATAAAGAATCTCCAAAATGTAGATGAGTACGTTTTAATTTTTATTTAATTATTCTTTTGTTTCAATTACACAGAATAAATGTTTGCAAAACTGTTGCAAACATTTTATGTGGGCTGAATTTAAACAAATTAAGTGTAGACATGCTCAACTTAATTTGTTTGTTTAAATACAGCACATCTAAATTGTTTGCAACTTCTTATCTTAATAAAGTAAATTGAGGAAATTAAGGATTTTTTTTCATCCTGTGGTGGAAATGGTTTTGCTTATATTTTCTTAAAAAGTGTATGTAAAAATTGTGATTGTATTTCTGCAACGTTGCAACCTAAATTACTTTCATTCAAAAACATTGATTTTTATTAAATCTGCCAAGCAGGCAATAAAACTACTTAACACTGATGTTTATTTTTACGGTTAATAGATGTATTAAAGAACATGTGCCATGTCATTCTCTTGTTTCTGGGACAGGTGTGTGGCCGGATGTTGCCTTGTCCCCTTCTGTTTGAATCGCTTCAAAGATGTCGCCCACAGTTGCCCGTCCTGCAACAAAGAAATCTGTGCAGTAAACAGGATTTAAAACAGAGTAAAATCTTGACCTGTGAAGTGACTTAAGACAAAATATCCCTGAAGATGTGTCTGGACTGTTGGGGATTTCTCTCTCTCTCTCTCTCGTTGTTCTCTTGACAGAATTTTGTAGTTAATACATACACAGCCAAAAATACATGTACAAACAAATGCAACTATAATCAAGTTAAACAAATAATAACTGATTATTCACATTGCGAAAATTGGCTTTTAGGGTCATATAATCATAGACATCACTAATGGTGGAAGAAAGGTAACACTTTATTATGATGGTCCATTTGATTATTAGTTTACTGTCTGCTTAATATCTTTTATTACTGCTGCTAAACAAACATTTAACTGAGTGTGAGAAATTTGTTAGTTCGTCAACTTACACTAAAGCCGAGTTCAGACTGCATGACTTTTAAAGTAATCGTGTCACACTGCATGACTATCTGGGCTAGCGTTTTGTCGCTGCTTTGTTAACACAGCAAGATGGATCAGCGACAGGGGCTTTCACATTGCATGACTTGACAATAGGAAGAGTCGCCGACAACTTCATCCAAACTACGTCTCACAGCCAAAAACACGTAGTATATCTTTTGTTATTAACTACATAATGAGAGAGAAAGAAGCCTTTAATGGGGTAGAAAATGTACATATTTGCTCACCTGATTTTGAAGGGAATTAGCCATTTCTCCTCAACTTTCTTTTTTAACTTTCTGTATGAAACAGACACGTGTGCTCATATCAAACCTAGTTTTTCCTCCATTTCTTGGGTTCAAACTAAAAATGAGCGCTTTTAAATTCTCCTTCAACCTTCCGCTGACCTGCAGGTTCACACACCCACACACACAAGTGAATGCTGCTCTCTTATTGGCTGTAGGCGATCGCCAATGTTATTTTCAGTCAGAACTCATTTCACACGGCATGATTTGAATCGCAGACAGCTCCAGATATTTAGCATGCCAAATATCTCACAGGCATCGGCGACTCATCTGTGATTCTCTCAGATTGCGTCTTTGATAGTTCATACTGTGTGATTGTCACTCACATGCATAAGCCCTTAGATTTGACTGTGATTTCAGGCATTTGTCAGCGATTCCTCAAAACCTGTCGTTGAGTCAAAGTCAGGGATAAAATCATACAGTCTGAACTCGACATAACCCTAACCCCAATCTTAACTCCAATTTAACAGTCTATTTATAATCTAATAAGAATTAGTTGGCATTTAGATGCAATGTAACTTAAACTCAACAAATGGATCATCAAAATAAAATGTGACCGGAAGAAATTCACAAATCATTCACTTGATCAACTTGGGGGTTTAATAACCTCCAAAGACTGAATTAACTGATTTCAATAAAACAATGCTTTTGCTATATAGTTACACTACATAGTCGCATACTTAAAGTACTGCTTTGCATATATTCTGAATATGCTGCAGTCATAACTATTGTAGACTGAGAGAGGAATTTGGATAACAATACAAGCCATCTAGACAAAAGATGTTTTGCATTGTGTTTTGTAACAATATTAACTGATATTCAAATGAACATGGTCATGTTTGAGTGGCATTGAGGATTCCTGGAGTTTAATGCTAGTTTGCATTCATGTAATAGTCAGGTAAATGAGCTTGAAGAACAGTTAGTTGAACAACACTATTGAATGTCTCTGAAAACAATGTTTCTTTCTTGTACATATTTCTTTTACATAATGGAAGAGGCTGAAGGGCTTTTCACAACTGAAATGATTAATCCTGGGTTGTTATAAACCTTGGGTAAACAGAATCCTAACTAGGGTTAACAATTAATCCAACGTTTCACACTGTAACCATAAATCATTGGCTTATGATCATTATACGCAATGTCATTGTGCTCTGTGACCTGTTTACATAAAGGCTTTAAGTTCTGAAGTACATATTGTTGACTTGTACTGCCTCACTGAAGCAGATTCATTAAGGCAACAGAAGTATGTTCATGCCTTGTCATAATAACCAATATCATAACATGTAAAATGGATGTTTTTGTAGAACACGTTACCATGAAGATCTGGAAAGTTTGACCAGCTATATATTCATTAAGGAGCTATAAATGTACTCTTGTCATGTCATAATCATAAGATTTAGGGATGCTCAATATATCGCCATTGGCTGAAAAACGTTTATTAGAGATTCAAGAATAGCGCCGAAACCCTTTTGTAATTGTTAGAAGAGAACCAAACGTTGCGCAGTCAAGACACTCTGTTGTCTGAATAGTAAAAGTTATCAAAAAAAGTAGAAATTCCCATTTTGGTTTAACACAGGATGACCAAACGTTCAAAGTGTGCGGGGCCTCTTTTACAAAAACCTCCATAACTGTGGAAAAGCGTGAACTATCATACCCAAACTCATATGAATGAGCTTGATTAGAGGCCACTGTAAAAAAAGATGTAGCAAGGTCTTACCAAATAGTGGCGCTACAATGCAAAAATGAACATCAAAGCAGTTTTAACGGAGAGACCGCTAGTCTGATTGACCAAGGTGGCACTGGGTCCCCATGGGGTGATATTTTGTTACTTAATTATATAAGCGACTGTAGATAGCACAATGAGTACGTTTACATGGACACTAATAATCTGATTTTAATGGGATTAAGACAATACTCAGATTAAGAGTCTACCATGTAAACAGCGATTTGTTTAATCCGATTAAGTTCATAATAGAACTAAACAGAAATCGGATTAAGGTTTGTGGAGTATGTAGATTTTAGTCTCATTATTGAAGTAGAGACATGTAAACGCCGCAATCAAGCCATTACCATCGTGTAGGATTTTGTGACAGGATAGTCTATATACACACAGCTGTTTAAAACTATTCTCTGCACCTACCGAGTTAGTAAAGAATCATAAACACCTGCATCCTGTACACTTTTCCAGCAGTTCATACTTGCATTTAATATCTTGTTTGTCACAGGGGGCATGCATGAAATGTTCCTGCATGAAAATGCCAAACTGCAGTTAAAGTCGACAAATTAAAAAATGAAACAACTGAAATTACATGAAACTCCAGAGGAAATGTAGATAGCAGTGATTCAATGATGTACGCCGTACTGATGTACGCCGATGTACGCTGTACTGATGTTCTTGTAAACGTAATCTAGAGAAATTCTAAACTTTGGTAATCTAAGAAGCACATAACACCGTTCTAAAGAAGCATGACAATGCTTCAACAAATTGGTTGCGCTACAACTGTTAAAAATCATTTCTTTAAATTGTTAATCTTAATTATTTTTGTCGCACTTCGAATTAGAAAGCAATTTTTTAAATTATAATTTATTAAATTTTTACAAAAACACATCAGTTTTTCTTAATCACTTGAACCCCAAATACTGCTGCTTGCAGATAAATATTTTAATGTTATCGTTCTCGGAAAATTACCAGCCTGATAAACTGAAACTGATACAATTTCTTCTGAAAAATTAATTGGTGAAAAAATTAACATGACGCATTGTATATTTTACATGTTTTTGCTAGAGGGAAAACATGTTGCAGTTCACTTTGAAAAACAGTTTACTTCAGAATCGCAATTTATAAATGACATCTGGATGAGATCTAATCACTTTTATTTGCTATTTACATCCAAGCTTATAAATATTAATATCAAGATTTAAATTAATTGTCCTTAAATATAGGATATTGGGTCCAAATATAACGTTTTATCGTTATAAGTTAAAATTGTTTGCATGCTGGATAAAATTACTACATGTAAAAAGCATTCAAGGTGTTGTAATACTAGTAATTACATATTGTAAATGGAGACATTACTGAGAGTTATGATCAAGAGTCATCTACCATCTGACCATTGTACCACCTGACTTCCACAGATTCATTTACGCCATTTGTTTACCCACTAATAATGCATAATTCCAAACAGGAGGATGTAAACAACTCAAATTAGAACTTTTAAATATCTCAAAATTGCGATAATTATGACATGGCATTACCATGGCTATCCAGATATAGTATTGCCACAATATGCATCATTTGGAGAGTGCGACCAGGGGTGCGACGTAACTCCTGGCTTCATATTGATGCATCGTTTTGGGAGTGTTTCCCAAAACCTGTTCTTTCTCTGTTGCAGACCCATTATTCAAACAATGTTAGTTAACGTAAAACGCCCATAATGGTGCTCTAAATGGGGTAGTAACAACTTTTTTAGAGAAGAAACTCATAACTTCTTTGGGCAAATTCTATTGTTTTACACGCACACACACATAAAAAAACAATATTAGTATTGGTCAAAACATGCACTCCTTTTCTAAATAATTGAAATATATGTAAATGGCACATATTCAAACGTTAGAATGTTTTAAATAAATAGGGCACAGGGGATAACTGGGAATAGAACAGAGCCAGGAATTATGTTTCTAACTACAGCTCTAGAGATGTAGTAACAAGTGCACAAGTTTACGACGCAGTTTGCGAATTTTCATTGGAACAACAGATTTGGGAAACGTCAAATCAATGAACTATGTTTGTAATGATGGAACTTGCGACCTTAGTTGGCTAACGATGGTTTTCGGAAACACCCCCGGCCAGATGTGCGAAACATTCCTTTACTCCGGGTTAAATGTGGTATTTAGAGTTGAGAGCACTGTAAAATGCCCTTAATTGCTATTTGATTGCATTGCTTGCATTTGATGTGCATTATCAAACAACTGTATATACTGTTTAAGCATTTCCATTGACACAAATAAACACCAATAGACAGTTTGTTTGCTCATGTCATTCCTCTGGTATATTTAAGAGACTCTAAAACATCCTCTACAACAGTATTTTCACAATACATCAATTTTCATTGACACGTGATGGCGTATATATACTCGTATCTTTAAAACTATTCACAAAATAGAGCTCATGGATGCGCCAAACATGTATAAAAATATGTATTACATCCATTAAAATATATACACAATGTGCAAAACATATGGCATACAAATGATGTTTGACTGATTGATTGATTGATTGATTGATCTCCCGCTTTGGAGCATGTTCAAATATCACCCAGTGTCATCACCACCGACACCTAATATACATCAATATTTTTGATAAAGAATATGATATCTAGACGAGTCCAGCAGATGATGTTGAAAATGTGGAGCTAGGAATGCTAAACCCCTACATGAAGCTGAATTTGACATCCTAAAAATGGCAAAAAAAAAAGGTTTCTAGAGCTCAGCCACAACAGGCGCACATGCAAATACATGAAGTAAAACTGAAGTGCTGCTCTGATATCTGATCTACTGCATATACTGTATACAATACAGCACTGTATATAAAACACAAATTATTGCTTTACTCTCCGACTGCACTAATAGCAAACAGCAAACGGGACTTTTCCTCTCTAACCTTTGTACAGTCAACTAAATTCAATACAGATGAATACTTTTCTCCAGCAGGGAAATCTTCAACAGCTTTAACTACCACGTAAACATTTGGGGTCAGGAAGATACGATACATTTTTTTTAAGATTACTCTCAAAATTATTAAAAATCGGACTTGAAGTCTGTGTTCATATGACTGTCATAAAACCTTTATAATCATTACATGACATGAGATTTTGTGCTTGCTTATGACAGCTGTCGCTCAGTTGTGTCATTAAATGCAAAATGACATTATTTGAGATGTCTTTTATGAAAACGTGACAACTACAGTACATCACAAGCTGTCTTTCATGGCATAACTTGTCATAAATCTGTCATAAACATAATTGTCATTAGGCTATTATAATTGTGTCATGACTTTTATAATAGCCTTATTAACAATTTTTTGGCCTCAACTCCACTAGTACAAATTGAATTAGACATTAAAATGTCATTAAATATGATGCGCTTATTATTATAATTATTATTTTTATTATTGAGTATTGACACTTTAATGACAAAATCTGTTTATCCACTGTAAAAAAGTGAGCAGAAAAATGAAATGTTAAGGTTATAAAGGGGTCATGACAGTCATATGAATATCCCCTTCAAGTTAATTGTTAACAAATAAAGTTGGAAAAAAGGAGACGATATTGTATAACATTATTACAATAAAAACCCTTTCACTCCAGTCCTGAGTACCACGATCTTTCATAAATTATTCTAATACGTCATCCAACATGACATGAAAAAAAAACACTCTAGTAGTCTATAGGCCAAGATGGTGGATCGTATGTGTCGCGGCTTAAGGAAAGGTAAAGGTAAGGAAACCCATGTGAGCACGGGGAGAATGTGTAAACTGCACAAAATTATTGGCTGGCTTGGTAAGGACTAGAACCATTGAAGTTCTTGCTGTGAGGCAACAGTGCTAACCACTGGTCCACCATCCCACCCATCAAGACAAGGAAGAGGAGAAGAGGTGGCATGGGAGATTCCTCATAACGAAGATGGCTGTAATATGTAACGTAGGGTATTTATAGTAGCTTAGGAATCGTCTGATTAGTGAATGATAAATTGAATAATGCGGGCCCGGCTGCAAGCAATCATAAGCACGTGATCCTCTCGAAATTAGTTTATAAATGAAGTTCACAACCTGTAAAGGGTTGTTCTGCTACTACTAATGTGTATTTTGGTATTTGAAACCTAAAATAAGTCTCTTGTGATCATTTGTAATTTATGACAAGCACGTGTGTGTCTTTCTGACTTTCATCAAGTATAACTGATGATATTGATAACTCATCAAGAGTTAATTAGCTGCCTCAGACTTTAATTTCAAATTCATATAATTTTTGTATCATATAGTCATTCATATTTGCTTCTGTTAGTGTATAAATTATTAAAGTGAGATATAGCTATTTTGTTTAGGCCTATGTGCTTTATTCATGTTATGCAATTTTTAAGGACATACTTTTTATGTTAAATCTAACTAAACAATATATATATATATATATATATATATATATATATATATATTTGTAAAGGTTAATAATTGGTTAACAAGTGCCAGTTTTGCATTCAATTTTGTTTTCAAAATGAACAACCAAAGTTTTGTGCTAAAGTATTAGCCCTGTGTGCTATTCTACTACAGGGGCTCCCAAACTTTTCGGCCTGCGACCCCCAAAATATCAATGCCAGTGACTCATGTCCCCCAATATCCCCTCAGGTGGTTATGAATATATTAACCTTGCACACAACAGCGCACACATAGCAATAGGCCCAAATCTATTCATCATTTAATTTTGGAGAACACTACTTGGAGACCATCCTCCATGTTCAGTTGTGGCCTGTATTTTTTTTATGTATTTGAGTGCCGTAAAGGTGTCAGAAAGTTTAACCTGATGCCATAAAATCAATGTGCTGCATCATCTTTAATATAACGTAATCACCCCAGGGGTCGCAAAAAACGAAAGATTGGTGCCTTTTTATTTGCATGTGGTTTTTAATGTTTATTATTAAGATGTTAACAATGTTACTATTGTATTGTTCTTCGATAGGTTATGGATAAAATATGGTCATTCTAGTTTAGTCTAGTTTAATAAAATAGATTTTTGGAAATTGACAAGTTATTTTTAACGTTTAACTGTTAAAATGAGGCACGATATGTGACACCAAGTTCAAGTGGGCTAGAGACCATATGCTATGCTTGTCGGATGTGAAAGACTGGTTGTCCTTGAACTTTCTGGATTTTAATGAAAGTAAGAGTGAAATGATTTTGTTCGGCCCGGCAAACTCTTCCAGAGCATCGACAGTTAATCTAGAAAAATTACGTTTTTCTATGAGGCCCTGGGTAAAAAATCTGGGTGTTATTTTGGATGATGACTTGAGCTTTGACAAACAGATAAATGCAGTGGTCAAATCCTGCTTCTTTCAGCTTCGACTTTTAAAAACAGTCAAATCTATTTTATCCAGAAAAAAAAATAAAAAAAAAATAATAATCCATGCTTTTATTACCACTAGATTGGAATAATGTAACTCATTATCCTTTGGGATTAGTCAGAAAACCTAATCCCGGTTAAAATTAGTTCAAAATGCTTCTGCAAGGCTTTTAACAGATAGCAAGAAACATGACCACATTACCCCAATTTTACGCTCACTGCACTGGCTGCCTGTTCACTATCGAGTTACTTTTAAAATGCTTTTCTTGGTTTTAAATCTCTAAATGGCATGGCACCTTCTTATCTGTCAGAAATGCTAATTGAGCACCAGCCTGGTCAGTCTCTTCGGTTATCTAACTGTGCATCCCTAAGTCGAGGCTGAAATGCAAAGGTGACCGTGCCTTCGCAGTAGCCAGTCCTAGGTTGTGGAATGCTCTGCCTCTCTGTTTTTAAATATAGGTTGAAATCTTACCTCTTTGATTTGGCATTTTATCAGTAAAAACGGTTTGTTTTAGCTATAATTTATACACAATGTGTGTGTATATATATATATATATATATATATATATATATATATATATAAATATATATATATAATTTTGTTTTTATCTGTTTGGATTTGGACTGTGCAGCACATTGGTCGACCTCTGGTTGTGTTTAATGGTGCTATATAAATAAAATTAACATAGACATTAATGTCTTCAGGTTGTCCCAACAGAAATCGATTCCATGGAACCCAACATTTTTTCAGTGTGCTGGGTTTCACACAATTCGTCTATGTTGTCACAACACAAATCGATTAGGTTATCCTAATCATTTTTACAAAATGAAGAGGATAGAACATAAAACAATTAGGTTGTCCCAAACAAACCTTAAGAATTGTGTCGTTTAAACTCATTTAAATAGTTTAAATAAGCAGCAAAAGACATTTCTTTGAGTGTGCCACCGAAATAAAGTAAATATGGTGACATTATAAATGTCTCTTTTGATACGTTTAAAGCATCGTTTCTTCTTACTGATCCCAAACATTTGTGTTTATAGTATTTATAACTCAACATACATCGGCACAGTTCAACACTTGGCCTCTTTGGTCATGTGAACAAAGTTTTATGCCACACAGAAGCCCTAAAACACAAGATGTGTCAGTGTATCACATTCCTCCTCCACTTGTGTAAATAGTTTGATAGGTGTATATATAAAAAACTGCACCATGCTGCATTACAACAGCAGTCAATAATGCCAAAAACTGCTCTGAACAGTCAGACGCATGGATTATTCCTAATCGGACTCAATTTGTCCCCATAGCTACTTGTAGCAGTGTATATATACTAGCTGACACTAGTATTTGGCATGTTTTTCTTCCCTGGAGAGGCCACAATTCAGACAGTATGCAGAGCGAACAGTACAAAGCCTTAAAAGCAGACCCAACTGAGCCTTGTTAATCGTTTGAGAGGACACACGTAACACTGAAGCAAAACAAGCTGATAAAACCTGTTTTTTTTTTTTTTTATAAAAGCTTATCTGTAAAGGTGCTTTGACGCTGTGCGGTTGATTTAAGAGTGACGAGCAGTTCATCACTGCAGCAGAAAAGTGCTGTACATCTTGAATAGGAAACATGGAAACAGCTGAAGCGACGTCCCTTGGGATCAAACATAACTGGATTCACATAATCTTAGATCTGTGAGTGCAAAGCCAGTGGACGCGTATTGCCTTGCTGAATGGAAAGGTTTCATTTGAGAGCAGGATATCGATATTTAAAAATAAACAATTCTCCATGAGGTGACTGACGACAGTTGTGGGGAAAAAAAAAGAAAAGAAAAGCAACACGAGGACGTTTCTCAGAAAGATATCACATCAATTTCATTATTCACATGCTGCCGATATATTTGCAAATCTCTATATATACACAAATATAATGTTTATCTACACTTTTTTTTTTCTTCATTTGGATGGTCTTTTGCAACTTCAAATGGTAAAACTTCAACAAAAAGGCGGTGAAACAGACAGAGACACTCAAACGCACAAACATGCACCAGACAAACATACACACATTTTGTACAGACAACTTGACAAAACAGACCTGCTAGAATTTTTTCTCCGACTCTCTCGACAAACGTATGAAAAGGGTCCTGTTATGCTTTTTACAATGTCTGTGAAGTTTCAGCTCAAAATACAGATGTCATTCACTACATTGATTTTCAACATCCTTGGAAGCAAAAACCATTTCTGTGTCCCTTTAAATGCAAATGAGTTGTTGTTTCCCTTTAAGAAGAGGATGTGCAAAAACGAATAAACAAAAGGTCTGTTATAATATACAGTTGAAGTCAGAATTACTAGCTCCCCCTGAATTATTACAATACAAGAAACAGGTCAAAACTGCCAGGACGTTTTCTTTCATTTGACAGCTATAATATTTCTTACACATTATCTTGTTTTAAACTACTAACATGTCAATAAAAGTCACTTTGTTAAACCGCACAGTTGAATTTTCAACATCAAAAGTGGACAGAGTACAGAGATGAATCTGGAATTTTGGAACCTTTTCATTTACATATTTGTTAGCAGCATAGGACTGATTTACAATGTCTACGGTATCCAGCCACCAGACGGGAATCAAAAAGTTTTTAGGGCCACTACTCCAAGTGTATCTGTCTGCGGACTGCAAGACAGAGGCGTAACAAGAAGGGGCATAATATGTAGTAGGTTAGAGACATACTGTAACTTGCAGGCATCGAGATCCCAATGAACCCAGAGAACATTTTTCTCCAAATTTATCCACAAACTAATCATTTCATATATTGCGAGATTCATTCATTTAGCAACTCTACCATGCAACTCCCTGACTTCATCCACTTTGTCATGACAGTTAGCTCACTTGGCATCGCTCCATATGGTTGCAAATAACAGTATGGTAAGCGCATAATGTATGAAAGCCTCCGCAACTCACGGCTGTGCGTTAATAGCTATGATAATTGGGTTTAGGACTGGGGAAGGTGTAGATATTAACTATGATGATTGGATTCAGGATTGAGGAAGGTGTAGATATTAACTATGATGATTGGATTCAGGATTGAGGAAGGTGTAGATGTTAACTTTGATGATTGAATTCAGGATTGAGAAAGGTGTAGATGTTAACTTTGATGATTGGATTCAGGATTGAGGAAGGTGTAGATATTAACTATGATGATTGGATTCAGGATTGAGGAAGGTGTAGATATTAACTATGATGATTGGATTCAGGATTGAGGAAGGTGTAGATGTTAGCTATGATGATTGGATTCAGGATTGAGGAAGGTGTAGATGTTAACTATGATGATTGGATTCAGGATTGAGGAAGGTGTAGATATTAACTATGATGATTGGATTCAGGATTGAGGAAGGTGTAGATATTAACTATGATGATTGGATTCAGGATTGAGGAAGGTGTAGATGTTAACTATGATGATTGGATTCAGGATTGAGGAAGGTGTAGATGTTAACTATGATGATTGGATTCAGGATTGAAGAAGGTGTAGATGTTAACTTTGATGATTAGATTCAGGATTGAGGAAGGTGTAGATATTAACTATGATGATTGGATTCAGGATTGAGGAAGGTGTAGATGTTAACTTTGATGATTGAATTCAGGATTGAGAAAGGTGTAGATGTTAACTTTGATGATTGGATTCAGGATTGAGGAAGGTGTAGATGTTAACTTTGATGATTAGATTCAGGATTGAGGAAGGTGTAGACATTAACTTTGATGGTTGGACTTAGAATTGGGGTAGGTACAGACGTTAATAATGATGGTTGGGTTTAGGACTAGAAAAGGTGTAGACGTTAACTATGATGGTTAGGTTTACAATTGGGGTAGATGTAGACGTTAATAACTGTGACGGATGGTTGATGTTAATAACTGATGGGTGCGGTGCCATCTTGTCGACAACAAAGTTTGACGTGGGTCTCTACAACTTCAAGATACGCCCGCCCCTTCATGTTACGGCCCCGTCTTGCAGTCCGCAGACAGACCCTACTCTACTATTCAGGAAGAATGCATCACATCTGGTTTGATATGAACTCCTCATACACAGTTTAGCACAAACCGCACATTTTCTTTTATGTTGACTCTCAGAAGAGATGTCAAAAAGTTCAAATAGTGTTGTTTATGCCCGTGAATGTAAAAATCACATGTGTATCATTATATTAGATCTTTGAAGCAGTAGTTGCGTTTAAATTGACTTTCAAAGTGCGCAAACTGAAATAGCAAAGTGAAAAGACAGAAAACGGAAAGATTATTTTCAGGTCACATGTCAAAATCACAAATCTGCCTACAAATTCCTGATCATTTTTGCTTTTAAATATAGAGATGCATTTATTTATAGAAAATGGCTCCTTTGGTCATGGTGCGGTGGAAGCAACATAAGGCATTGCCTTGCAAAAAAAAAAAATCTAAAATCCTGAATCCACAGTTCCTCTTTGAAAGAGTGTTGTATAAGTGGATTTACTTGCTGTTGATGCTTTAAAAAATGCCTACATCTTATTTGATTAGAAATAAATGGCTAGCATGGTGCAATATTTCAAAACATCTAACATCTGTCATTATGAATTTTTTGAATTCCAAATTTTCAAGATGTTTTTTGCATTAAAAAAATGGTTTAACTCAGACATGTCATGGGTTGAAATGATTTACATTTAAGATATGTTGACCTGCACTTTCCTGTGAGAAAACTCAGGAAAAAATAAAGGAGTGTCAGTGAGTTCAGAAACAAAGCTTACAGATATAGAGAATAACTCCCTTAGGAATGACTTTGTGCTATTAAACTTCACAGATCTTTTTTCATGCTAAAACAGCAAACTTATGTGGTGAAGGAAGCGTGAAAAGCACAGCAGGAACCCTTTGAGCTGCCAGTGACATTTAACATGCAGTAAAGTCTTTAACTGCCTGGTCCACGTCTTCAATTTTGCATTTTTAAAACTCCACGTACTGAAAGATTAACAGTACAAAGATCCCCTGTGTTCACATATGACACGTAGTGCTGTTAGAGAGATCTTGTATTTATCGTCACTTGTCACTTCTGATGGCTTCGTTTACATAATCGCTTTCTAAAAGTAGCGTCTGTGACGGAGCTTTGCTCCATGGCAACAAAATTAAACAAATTAGCCAGAAATCATACAGAAACCACCGTGTGAACACAACTAAGGAAAAACTTAGGGGGAAAATAAAACGTCCTTACAGTACGGTGCACCAACAAATCAACAGTCAAACACACAACATTCCACTGACGTGATGGACAATCAAACACAGACACTGAATCACAATTCACAGACACACAAATAAAGGGTTGGACATCCAACAGGTCGTTTTATACAAAGATTTCCTCTCGTGGATTATTTACATCGAATTAGATTCATTTAAGAATGCTATAATAGGAGTAATCGCTTGTTAATCAAAATCTGCCTAATATTGGATTGAATTTGGCCGGAATTTAGAGCTGATCCGAGACAAATCAACCACATTATCAGATCCCATTATCATGTCTAGAACTGAAAAGAATTCATTGATTCAGATCTAGCAAACTGCTCTAATAACTCATCCAGCATTGGCTGTTCATGCATGGAGAAAATATGAAGTTCAAGCCACTTCATAAAATATAAAGCAATTGCTCTGATATGTTAAATAAATCTTCTCCATCAATCTACTATGCTGTTCAAAAGTTTAGGGAAGTTATCTTATTTTTAAGGCTTCATTAATCTGATTAAAATACTGTAAACACTATTTTTTTTTTCATTAAAATGAATAAACTTTTTAAATTGTTATTATGATTAAACTGTGATGTATTCCTCGAATAATAATGCTGTATTTGCACCATGTGTCGCACGATCTTTCAGAAATCATTATTTCTTATATTATTTCTTCGGATTAAAGTCAAATCCTGTTCTATTTTGTTTATATTTCTATGGTCATTTCTTTTTAAAACAGACATACTAGAGTGATATATATATATATATATATATATATATATATATATAAGAGAGTAAACGGGGTATAATGATTTAATAGATAAAAATAGCCCAGGATTCTGAATAGATCACTTATCAAAAAACATGGAATTTAAGAGGATCTGGTGAAATGTCTATTTTCATATATACTTTGAATAATTTTTATAAATGGTTGAACAATTTTATCAACTCCTTCATACAGGCATTTTAGACAAATTTCCAAAATACATTTATTAAAAGTTTCTGTAAAAAAAATTATAATAATTTAATGTTTTAAACTATCTTTCTCTCTTTATTTTTTTGATTAAGGATTAAAGGCTGATTTATACTTCTGCGTCTTCTGCTCCGGTGCAGCCTTTTCGTGGTTGTATAGCCCTCGCCGTGGCAGATGCCAACGCTGATACACACCTCTCAAAAACGTTTTAACTACATGTCGCAATGACGCATTGCGCAAGCTCTGTGATTGTTCGGCCTGATAGCTGTGACCAATGTGGGTGGGACTGATTGGGACTGAACCCATTGGAGCGAGTATTTACTAGTGTCAATCCCGTGAAGCAGCTCTGGATAGAAACTGTTGTTTTGTGTTTGCCTAATGATTAGGGCCAGACAGAATCTGCTGACATTTTTTGCTATTTCTGCACATTTTTTTTAAATCTGCGGATTTATGCAGAATCATTCTGGAAGTATCATATCTGAAAACTTAATATTTGGAATAAAAATTAATACGTTTTTAATTTTTATTTAATGTTTACAATGCATATCCAATTAGATCCACTTATTTGGTAAACAAAGCAAGTCTCTCATGTAATATCTCTACTAAAAAAAAGAAAATATTAATTTATTGTAAATAAATCATATGCACATTTTCAAATTAGTCAATAATATGACTGAAATTAATGTATAAGCTGAATAAATATAAATGTGCACACTTTTACACAAGTAAATAAATAAACTCAATGATAGGCTAAAAATCTGCAGATTTCTGTGCACACAGATTCCATGTGGGCCTACTTATCAATAATGTTGTTGCACATCTGCCGGTTCCCTCCTCTGAATGAGCGAGTTTTAGCTACTTGTACATTAAGGTAGCGTTCAGAAAACCCCCCGCAAAAAAATGCGATACAGAGGAACATAAAAACCCTCTGTCTGCTAGCATTTCGGAATGTTATTGCAGAGCAACACAAACAGTACGCAGAAGTATAAATGCGCCGTGGGTTGGCGATCACTCTGCATGGGTGTTTTAATAGAGTAATCTTTTAACAATAAATGATGCAGCTCTATTAAATGTTCATTATTGAATGATCACTAGGCTGGTCTAAGAAGTAGTCTACAACATTATAAATGTTCTTACTGTCATTTTGAATTACCAATTGAATATATCCTTTCTAAAAATACAGCATTAATATCTTTTTAAAAACCTTACTGCCCCCAAACTTTTGAACAGTATTGTATTGGCCACTAAGACCTGCAGTTACTTCAGTCAGCTCTGAAAACAGGACTTCTGAGAAATGCATCTTCCCAGTCTGACATTATTATCCTCCACACACACTCGTCATTACAGAGCGGAGCGCTAACGGTGCCATTGCTCAAGGCCATGTTCAATTTTGTGCAAACAAAGCAAACTCCACTGTGATGCTGGAAACTTCTGGAACCAACAGCGTTTCCCTTTTTCAAAATTAGCCGTGAGGATATTCATAGACCAACTGCAACCAATGGCACATGAATGGAACCCCCCCGAAATAGCGATACAGCACAAGTCAATCTGCCCAAAAGCAGCTCCCTCTCAGTATGGCACAGCAAAGAGAGAACATTCAGGGCCTAGCCAGCATTACCCACAATGCTCTTGTGTCAATTCAGATCAAACAAGAGCGTTAATGTGAAACGAGAAAGTGAATAGAACCAGCGTGAGAGACATTTACAACCGAATCTAGTCACGTAAAGCTGCCAGATGTGAACCGCCGCCACGCAGACGATCCCTACTTGTTGTGCGAGTGAAAGCGTATTTGTGTTTGAAGCGTCTCCTCCTCAGTCCCAGTGGAGCTGCAGGTCATGAGTGTCCAGGAATTCAGAGGCGATGCCCAGTGGGTTGAGTCCACCAATGGGCCCTGGCATAGTTAGGTCCAGCCACTCCATGTTGTCCAGGCCGGTGTCTTGCAGACTGAATGAGGACTGAGTGGGCGGGTCGCTGAAACCAAGCTCGGACGTGTCCATTGGGGAGTTTGGTTGGTCCAGCATCTGGTTTTGGAGCTCTTCTAGCAGGCACAACGTCCTCTGCTCTGGCTCTGTGTCCCCGACTAATGTGCCCTCCAGCAGAGCCTCTAATTGGTTGTCGGAGTCCAGGGAGGCCAGGCTGGGCAAGGCCTCCACCATGAGGGTTGGAGGGGGTGCCATCTGCACCTGTGCGGGCGGTCGGGACAGGGCTGTGCTAATAGGTAGAGTGGTGATGCTGGCCGTGACTGGCATCATCTTAGGCACAGATGGGTCCTGTTGACTAAAGGGTGTAATCTCTGCAGAAAACAAAACAGGGTAAAAACTGAAAAGTTGGTATTTTAACATCACATAAGTACACATAAGCCCCTTTCACACATACAGGCAATTTTCCGGAAAGGTTGTGTGTGTGAACAGGTCCTTTTTGAAAATACCGGTAAATTCGTTCTGGCTATTTTCCGGAAAGAGAAGTTGTAACATTACCGGCAATTTGCCGGAATGCTGCGCTGTGTGAATGCAGAAGGAAGATTCCCGTAATAAGCGCGTGCACGTCTAGAACGTGCTGACGTGAGACGTCTGCTTTAGCCAATCACAACAGTCAGACGCATTTACTTCCGCGCGGTTTGTGAGGATAAAAGCCTTTGAATATTTTTCCAGACACATTTAGCTGCTAGAAGTTAGTCAGATCACGTTTATATGTTCTTCTTAATGCCAACTGTGTAAATAATCATCGATGAGATGTTTATGATAAGCCGTTGTTTGTTTACGTTCGTGTGCCTGTGAAACAGCCTGTAAGCGCCAGCACACGCACATATTATGAACATCTCGACATGCGAAAGTGATCCTGCAAAAGTTGTTCACAATATTGATCATCCACAGAGTTTGTAATTTAGTCAAATGTTTACAAATACAAACGCAGCCGTCTAAAGCTCATTTGTGGTGAATGATGTCAGACTTTACCGGTATTTTGGAATGGATGTGTGAATGCTCTTTTCCGGAAAATTTCCATAACGTCCTCTCCTGTGTGAACAGCGCTTTTTTGAATATACCGGTAAAGTCGTTCCGGAAATTTTCCGGATATTTAACGGTATCACTGTGTGAAAGGGGCTATAGATACAGTGCCCAAACACTGCCCCCTCTCACCCACACACTGCACTTATTATTGTGTAGATTACACTACCTATTAGAGTATGTTTTACTTTTGAAATGGGGTATAAATTAGTCACATTTGTTGTTTTAAAACTCTTTTCAACATGATTAGGAGCTGCTTGTTAATTAGACAACGCTTCTAAGCTCTTTGATCATACTGTCGATTGTGTCATGATAAACCGCTGTTAGTTTAACTGCAGGCGCTTTGTGATGTGTGTGCACAAGAAGAGGAGTCAGATATTTTTTCGGGAGTTCTACTTTTCTTTACCTCCTCTTGGATGGGCCCACACAGTTTGCGCTATGCCTTGGTCACTACTAACTGAATGGAGAAGGAGCAAACAGTTATGTTTTGTTAAATAAGTTGCATTAAAATATTTTACGTTTCACAACCACCCATATTTTGTTAACCCACCTATGCCATTTTTTACCCGCACAATCAAATTCAGAACTGCCCAAACTGGCAACACTGACAACAAGGGATAATAAAGTTAAAAAAAATTATAAAATTTTATAATAGTCTCATAAGTTACTGGATTAAAACTGACAGTAGGAAAAAGACTATTTCTTTTTAAAAGTTACCATGTTAATATTTGTTTAACAATACAACAGAACTGTATTCGCTTTTCACACAATTTAATAAAACAATTACGATTTTAACATGTTATTATGTTATTCACAAAAAAACTATCACCTAAGATTAATAAAAGCTTTCAAAAAAGTTTTCATTGTGAGTTAATTAAATTAACTTAAATTAAACCACTAGAGCATTATTGCATAGTGTTAAAGTACAATAGCCCATCAGTCCTGTTTTTAAACTATTAAATAAATTAACCAATTAAGTGAGGACTGTGAGGGAGGGGGTGGGTGAAGCAGATGAAAGTGAGCACCGGGGGGTTCGCTCACTATTCTGCTGCTCAAGGCTGCCGACTTAGTTGATTCTATGGACGAGCCGGCTCTGAACACACGTCGGCCACAACAGAATTTTTTTTTTAAAAACTGTGTTAATTGCGTTATTTTTTTAATGTGTTAAATATTTCAAATTAATCACATGCGTTAACGCGCCCTAAACAGCCCTAGTTTTAAGACAATTTATTTATTATTTATAATTTTATTTAGAACTATAATGCACTCCAGAATCTGACAGATTGATTGACCGTAGGCTAAAGAACAGTCGTCTAAAGCGTCGTTGTACAGTGTTATGCCTGGATTTTATTAATAGCCTTGCATTTACTAACACAGATTATTTTTTAATTATTTGGAAGAAATAAGTGTTTTCCTCCTGCAGCAAAACTTTATAAGGACAATACTTAGTGGCTCAATGTATTAAAAACTAAAGCATGCTTTTTAAATAAATTAACCAATCAGGTATCTGATCATTTGTTACCGTTATAAACACCACTCCAAACAAAATGACCACTGGTGACGTGAGAATGAAGAACAGAATCTTGAAAAGATCTGAACACAAGTAGTTACAAGACATCCATATTAAACAAGTGGCATCATCCCACACTTTCTTGTGAAGCCAATACAAAAGTAAGTGACACTGCAATTCAACAACTGGTCTTTGGGGTCTGGCTCCAGAAACTTTAATGTTCACGGACTGCCATGTTAATTTTAATTTCCATGCCAATTTTACAGCTGATAAAAACATGTTTACATCATGGTACAAAAAAATATTTTGGTTCATATAGCTAATATGATCCTTCATGACAACTGTGAGGTGGATGAATTTTTCTTATAACTCATTCGTTTCATTTATATTAGCTCTGCTAGGTTTCACTGGTCACAGTCACATCACCTCAGCTGATTCCGGCTGATTAGCCGATGAATTTGGCATATACATCGTATTTTTATTTTTATTTTATGTGGTTTTACACAGTCAATTGGCTTTTGGGATTATTTCTTACAATTATCAGATAATATGGCATGCTGTGTGCACTTAATTGTGCTCAAAAACCATTAGCGTAGCCCCATTTCCCAGGTGAGTGAAATTCTTATATACTTTTATGTAAAATGTATTAGCTTTAAGAATATTTATTTATTATTTATCATTTTATTTAGAACTATAGTGCACTCCAGAATCTGACAGATTGATTGGCCGTACGCCGATGTCGTAAAGTGTTATGCCTGGATTTTATAAATAGCCTTGCATTTACTAACACAGACTATATTTGAAGTATTTAGAAGTAATTAGCATTTTCCTCCTGCAGCAAAACTTCATAACGACAATACTTAGTGACTCAATGTATTTAAAACTGCAGCATGTTTTTGAAATAGAAATAAAAGATTTAGTAAAAAGTATTTTTGAGCAAGTGGATGTATCTTTAACTGAATCAAAATATTAAATTCTTACTGGCCCCAATTTAAAAACAGTATTGTGCCTGCCACTGAACCTCACCATGTGTCTGACTTCCTTGTCCTTCGCTCTCATGATCGTAAATCTAATTTATAGTGTGAGCTGTGAACAAATGGAAATATTTGTGTTCACACCAATTATAGTCTGCAAACAGTGACAAACTCACCTCCACTTTCTATTAAAATGTCAAAAAGATCATCCATCTGTTGACTCGTCACTGTGGGAAACTGCAGACCAAAACACACAAAAATATATAGATAAAAAATAAATGAATACATACATATACACATAAATATTAATAAGTTACTTTTCTATCGAATAAGAACATAGACAAAGTGTATGGCAAACAAAAAGAAGAAATCATTACATAAAAGATAGTAAACAGGAAAAACAGAAAAATTAAGAAAGAAAAGACTAATTGGTCCCACTTTATATTAAGTGTCCTTAACTACTATGTACTTACATAAAAAAATAAATACAATGTACTTATTGTGTTTATAATGTATTTGAGAACACTTGTGGTGCTTTTGATTTGGGATAGAGGTTGGGTTATGAACAGGTTTGGTGGTATGGGTAGGTTTAAGGATGGGTTAAGGTGTAAGGGATGGTCAACAGTGTATTTACAAATGTAGTTATAAAAGTTAGTTACAGATGTAATTACATACATGTATTTAATCAAGCATAAGTACACAGTAAATACATGTATTTATATTACAATAAGTACATTTTAACAAACTATTAGTTAGTGTTTAAGTACATATTAGTTAAGGCCACTTAATATAAAGTGGGACCGACTAATTCCTTAGACAAACATTAATACTCACATAATTATATAAACACCAGTAAGACATTAAACGACAAAAAAGTTGAACTAAACTAACATAATACAAAAAACATCAAAAGATTGTTAACTTCTTTAGTTTGCTCATTTTTGGACTATATATTCATCTGGTCACCTTAAGCATCTTTCCTCTATTATTTCCTCATGACAACTCATACATGTCATTAAGACTATTGTTTCTTTACTTGTAAGTAATTTAAAAAGTCAGCAAGAATCATTATTTGATAACTTCAAAAAAATGTAGATCAGCAATTGTTCTAGTAATTGTTGGAAATAATTTTAAAATATTAGTGAGCACTTTTTTGACTAAAAAAACAATAATGCAAGAAGAGTGTCAATGTCAACTTGCGCATGTTTACAGAGTGCCTATAATGCAAAAATTCCTTTTATAAGGAGGTTTAAACAGTCGTTTAGCAACAGTGTGTGAATATAGCCATCTTCTAATGGTAAATTTAAAATATTAATTCTGTTTTTTTGTAATCACATTTAATAAAAACAGCCTACAGAAAGAAATCAGAAGGGGAAAGCTCCATCTATTGGTGATGATATTTCCCTCATTAGCAAAGACAGCCCTGGGGTGCGTTTCTGAAAACCATCGTTAGCCAAATGAGGTTGCAAGATTCGTCGTCACAAACATGGTTTGTTGATTTGCCGTTTTCCAAATCCATCATTCCAACGAACATTCGCAAACTGCGTCGCAAACTTTTATGCTTGCAACTACACCTCTGGAGCTGTAGATAGAAACAGTTCCAGGCTGTGTTCTATCACCAGTTATCCCCCTATGCCATATTCGTTTAGATTGAACATTCTAACATTTAAACTTGGAATATTAATAATAAAAAAAATAGCATTAAATCCTCTCTTTTAGGTGTAATTTGCTTTCAAAGTATTTTTACTGTTCAGTTTTATCAATCTTCATGTTTACAACTGTGGTTCTTTCGCAGTGCTTTTTGAAAGCATTGATGTCATTTTGAACACAGCCGTGGCTCCTGATGAAAGCTATAGGTGACCTATTATTTAAAAGTGGAATTTATGTTACGTCTCCAAAGCTTGTGAAAATAAAAAACTTGAAGTAGGTTATCAAACCTACTTCAAACTCATTTGAAGTAGGTTATTTATTAATTATCTGTACTGTATAAGACATGGGCCTGTTAGTTAGCACATTTCTACAGTGGTTTGCATGTGTCAAATTGTAAAAGTCGATTAAAAAATAAATAAACAAAATCCTACTTAATAATAATAATAACAATAAACATCATCATCATTATCCCCATCATTAATGTTATTAATAGTATTATTAAAGTAGGAGTTTTTCGTTTGCTAATAAATAATAAATATAGATTTATATATGATATTAGAATACATGCTAACTTTTTTGAGTGATTTTATGTTTTAGAATAGAATATGGAATATCCTCAACAATATTTGTAAAGGAAACTTAGGCTCTATATGTGCCAGTTACATATATTTCAATTAATAAGGAAAACGAACAAGAGCATGTTTTTACCAAAACTAATATTGGATTATTTTTTATGTAAAACAATATAATTTGCACAAAGAAATTATGTTTTTTTTTTTTTTCCTTTAAAGAAGTTTAGGGCATTGTTATGGGCGTTTTAAGTTATAACTAACATGATTCAAACGATGGATCTGCAACAGAGAAACTAAAAGTTTTGGGAAACACTGGCTACTACATTGTTCTTTTCCCAAACCATGCTTCATACTATGATAGTTCAGCTGCGAACTATCACTGTCACTAGGTGCGTTCGACATGAAGCTCAGCTGCAGCCGGTGATCAACGAGATTAGCCGAGCGCAGGCGGGGCGGAGTTGAAAACGGAGCCGTCAAGACGGACAGCTGGACACTTCGGGACTCAAAGTTGCTGCAGTCATGATGACCGATCACATGGCGTCATCATATTTTTTTTGTTATTTTTATTTATAACAACAAAACATTTACAAATAAAACAGAATACAGTCTCTACAAACTGTAGTTCCTTTTTAAACAATAAGAGAGAATTATGAATAAAATATATAACAAATGCATGAGAGAAATAAGAGGAAATGAGAGGTTAATATAAACATAAAAACGAACAGGTCTATTAAATACAAAGCAATAAGCATAAATTCTAGGAGTTAAACATCAACCTTTAGGCTAATACTTCTTGTTTGAATCTGCTAAAAAAGGGTTTACATATATGTACATTTATAGATATAAAAATTTCCCATGTAAAAAGCAAAACAAGGTGTTTTGATTAGGTCTTAATAAATGACATTATTTTGGATGATGAATGAATTTTTAAAAAAGCATTTTAATCCAAAAAGATTGTGTTGAAAAGAACAAAAGGTAAAATAAGTGAGCTATGTAGAAGTTTCCCAGAAAGAGCAGGTATAGCCTTTAAACTGCTAGACAGAAAATAAAATATATATTTATATTATAATAATAAAGCCATTTTATAATTATTTAATGAAATAGTTCTTTACTTTAATTTGTTAAGAGAGCTTTAGGGTGGCAGGATCAATGATGATGATTTTCTTATTTCAAGTCTGTAAGACTTATTTGAGTTCATATTTAGGTTATTCACTAAAATATACACTAAAATATATCATTTAAATAGTTTATGGAGATGAATGCAGTAAATAGTCTGTATAAAAAAGTAAAAAAATAAACCTGTGCAAACAAGCTAACCTTTATAACCAGATTATTTAACAAAAGATGATACTGCAGTAAAATATTTGTAGTCTTTTAATAAGCAAGATGTGTACAGGATAGAGAGGGTGTGAAAAGTGAATTGTTTGTTTTGAAACTTTTGAATCAGAATTTGTCCAATTATAAACCCGAAATACACGTGTTTGTTGTCATGTGGTGAACTTGGCCAATCGTGTAATATCGGTGTCGTCATCAAAGCTCCTGCAGTCGCTCTTCAGAAGCTGCATGGTCTGAGTTTGCCGTCTGATCTCGGAGCGCTGTCGCGGTACTTTGATGCCACATGTGACAGTCACGTGGCGTCGGCGCAGCATCAATCCGGACAAGATTTCTAACCAGAATGCACTGCTTTAAGACAGATTTCGATCGATCTGCGCAGCGCTGCATGAAGTCGAACGCACCTATTGTTTGGGAAATGCACCCCTGAGTGAGAAGCAGCCGTTTTGAATCTATTGCTATGCTAACATAAAAGCATTTTTAGCTCTGCCCTCTTTCTAAAATAGTGCTTGGAGCATAATCTCAATTGGATTTGAAGTCAACAAAATGACAAAAAGCAAAAAACCTGAAAGAGGCAGTTTCAAAGAATTATGAAATATTATTTGTTGGGTATTTTGAGCTGAAACTCCACATACACAATTTTTTTCTTGTAAAAAGAGTGCATAATAGGTCCCCAATTATAGCACTGTTGCACACTATACATTTTGCACAACCATGCTACATTGCTTATTTTCTGCTTTTGAGCTGGACAGCATACATACCACCTGCCTCCAATATTTATGATGCCTGCTGAAACAACCTTATTTTTATTCCAGTTTGTGTACAAGCATGTTTAGATGAATAGAAAACAGACCACTTCACCTCCGAGATGGTGGGATTCTGGAGGCTGCGTGTTTGTTTGACGGCCTCTTCATAACGGGGTGGCTCTCTGTTCTTGGGAGCCTGGTTGAAAACTGGGCACTGCTGGATAAAAGAGGCCTGGGGGTGGAAAAGTGAATGAACACTCAAGCCCCGTTTACACTAATACGTTTTAGTTTCAAAATGGCGTTTTAAAATAAAAACGATCTACATCCACACTGGCGTTTCACCTAGCATTTCTGAAAGATCTCCATCCAAACTACACCACTGGAAATGCACACCAACTGACCACACACACACTTTGGCATGCGCTGCAGCAAATGTGCACATCTAAGCTCCAGGTAGTCACACCTTTCCAGGAGAGAGCAACGCAGGTCAGACAGTAAATCAATGATCTTCTGCTGGATCTCATCTCACTATAGTTGTTAAATTTGATATTTAATTTTTCTTGTTGTCTCTATCCAATGGCTCTTTGGTCTTTTGAATCTATTACTTGTTCTCAGGTAACGTGTTTTGAGCACACAGATAAGTTAATATATTTATTTATCTAGCCATGTACACTGATTCTGCTCATGTGACTGATCGCTTGCCATTATTTCCTATATTGTATAAACTTATGTTATTCTTACATTATGGCCATTATTTATTATTAAAACTGATATTCAGCAAAAGAGACATTGTGTGTTTCATATTTTTTTGAAAAAAATGAAAAGGGGCAGTTATGTTATAGGGTTTTGTTATAAATATGCATACAGTGAAGATGACGATCATATAAATATGTAGCAACAAAACACCTTAACATTTTTAGTGTCTGCTAAGTTCATATCAAAATGAATATAGGCAGTTCCTTATATCAGGTTTTCATTTTATTGTTAAGAAACTATAACAACATAGCCAGGGTAATGCGAATGAGGTTATAAACTACACTGTTTTTACCCAACGTGTCCCCAAAAGTTTGTTTTCCAATATTTATTCAGAACTTAAGGAAAAAATTCAAGACTGAAATTTGGGTACTTCATATTGAGGAAAAAGCCCCAATCTGATTGTCAAACATCTGCAGCCGCACCTCCGTTTGTCTTTGTTTTCCGATGTCTTTGTTTTCCCCCATCCACACTGACACAGCAGCAGTGTTTAAAATAAAAGTGGCCTCTTTGCGTTTTCAAAAAGCTCTGTTTTCAGGGCTGGAAAACTCCAGGGTAGTGTGGACGGAAGGTGTAACCGTAGCAAAACTTATGCGTTTTAAAAGTAAAACATATCAGTGTATACGGGGCCTCAATGCAGAACAACCATTGCCACAAAGATAATAAAAACAAAAAGTTCTACCTTGTTTAGTTGTCCATTGATAAGGGATGATGGGATGGGGGACGTCTGAGGTGAGGTTCTGTTCTCTGGGGAGCTACTGAGGAAACACTGAGGAATCTCCAGGCCTGCCTGGTTCTCACTGGTACTGTGCTGGAAACCTGACCTCTCAGTGGTGCCCACAGACAGGGTCTGTGTTAAGAGAAAACCAAAAGAACTTCAGACTCCAAAATCAGCCACTTCTATCCTAAGCCATCGGTGCAATTTTGTGACATAATTTCATGACTAGGACAATTAAAAAAAATTTAATTAAAATTAAATCGCAACTTGTTGTGGTTATCATGTTCATCTTGTCAGGAAAGCATGGTTCTGTGATCTGTAGTAAATGTTCTCCAAAGGCCAGAGAGCACTCTCACACAAGGAAACGCCAAACTCCCCAGCAGTTGTTGAATAAACAGAAGATTTAACTGCTTTCATTGATTCAACATGACTAATAATTAAACGTCTATGGAATCATCTCTTTATTTAAAATGCTGGGCTGAAGTTGTGGAGTTTGGAGTAAAAACGTTATTTCTTCTTAATGCCAACTGTGAAAAAACGATCGATAAATTGCTTATGATAAACCACTGTTTGTTAACCTTCAAGCTCTGCTTCAGTTGCTTGACGCGTGTGCATGTAAAGTCAAGTAGTGCTTCGGTGAGCGCCAGCCAGTACATGCACATATTATGTATATCTCGATATGTGTTCCTCCATATATTTCATTGAAGTTGTTCACAATACTCATCTATTTACGGAATTGGTAATGTAGTCAAATGTGTAAACATTTAGTCGCGGTTCGTGCTTCTGCCTTTGGATGTTTCTGGGACAAAGCAGCTGCGTGAACGCTAAAGCTTTAAATAAAAGTGAAAGCATCAACAAAAGCCCGACCCCTTCTGTTTACAAACACAAGCGAGGTCGTTTAGAGCTCAGTTCTGATTAATAAAATCAGAATTCAACAGTGTTTTGGAATGAATGAGTGAACGGTCTTTTCTGGAAAAATTCCAGAGCATCCTTGCCTGTGTGCACAGTACTTTTTTTTTAATTTACCGGAAAAGTCGTTCCGGTAATTTTCCGGATATTTATCGGTGTCACTGTGAGAAGGGAGTTCATGATTTAAAAACATGCTAATGCAGGGGAAACTGAAATGTGTCTCATCCAACCACTCATGATCGAAACACATAAAAAAACACATAAGCCTTTGCGTCATTTGAGTCAATTAAACATGAACAAAGAATTACAATAAAAATGAAAGTGTGGTGCTCTTCCAAATGGCCCTTTGAAGTTTTGAAAACTTCAGTTGGAATAAACCTTCAATATGGTGTCAATGGTGATGCCTGGCTGTGTGGATGGTGAGTGTAAAAACCAACTCAGGCACAGCATGCACGATGAGACAGAAGAGTCCACCAGGAGGCAATATAAAGAGGTAAACATTATATAAATGCAATAGGAGTTGCTGCAAAAGGAGAAATTGAATTAATGTGCTTGGAAGGGTATAAACGGTTGTTCAGGTCAGCACATTAATCTAGATAAAGTAATATGCAACCAGAAAGGATAAAGCATTTTAGCAGAAAGTAATGGAGGAATGTGCAACACAAAGAAGTTAATGGAAGGGAAATGAAAGTGCTCAGTGCTGCCCTCTGACATCTTGTAGACGTATAAAAAACAAAGCAGTCTATTGCACATACCGAACTCATCCATTTATCTATCTTTTCAAGACACAACAGTGTGAGAAGGAAGAGACTGCTAAGAATAAATTATACCTAAGAGATTTTAAAGAATATATGCTAAAAAGTCATATATTTTTGTGATAATTTCCTGTCTGCTGTTATGGCACTATATGAGACCTGGCTTTTTCAGGTCATCCTGGCATGGGTGCATCATGTGAATGAGTCAATGATAACGTTATCAGCTCATCACTACCAATGAGCTCTAGTTACTCTAGTCATCCAGGACTCAGGCCAGGCTAGTTCACTATGCCAAAGGAATGGCCGTCTAGCTGGGAAACCTTAGCACGGTCCCCTGCTGCCAGGACAGGCCAATTATAGTAGAGTGAAAGCCTAGAAAGAAATGAGAGCGGTGACTCCCATCCATCTCACTGATGAATGACTCTACTGGATAGACAAAACTAGATGATCCCAGAGCTCACAGATAAAGTTTATATGCTCTGATTGCTTCAGCTGGCATTGATTCTGTTCTTACTCGGATTGCATAGTCATTCAATACTTTGTTAGAAAAAGCTGTAGCGTGGATGAATGTAATGATATAGAAGCCTCACCAACAACAGATTTGACATTTTCAAATTAATGCTATTAGCAAAACATTTTTAACATTATAGTCTGCTTATTTTTATTCATGGCAGTTGGGTGACAGATAATTTGTGTGCTGAACACACTCAATTTGTAGTTTAACTGCTCAACTGACCATATGCATGATCACAGGTATGAAAGCAATTAGGCTTTCCAGTTAAATAAAATGATTATGGAAGAAGTTGTGGTAGGTTATTCTGGATGTTTTTGTCACTACTTGTTTAGCCTGCATTAATGCATTCAGTTTAGGCTACATGAAAGATCTGGATCTCAATACCCACACAACATAAATTATAAATGATGGTGGTTTGCATGTGTTTATTAATCCTTCATTTTGCTGCATTCAAATGTGAAAATGCAAAAATCAAGAAAGAGATGGAGTCTTGGGTCTTTTGAGTTAGTTATGAAGTTACAAACAGTCAAATAACAGAAAAGTCAGCAACAGTAGTAGTAACAGTGTATTTTTCACAGTACTGAATATCTTAAAATTTATTTTTATTCAGTGGATTATTTCTTAATTTTATTTTTAATAATATAACAAGTTCTAAGTTCTGTTTGTTAAAACCAAAAGTCTTTTGTTGTACTGTTTTTATAATAAATGGAAAGCAAATTAGATTTGTCTCCTTCTTTTTGGCTGATCCAAAAAAATGGTCCAAACAGTGACCAAAAAAACATTTGTGAGATTTGCGATCCGTTACACCACTAATGGTGGCTGAGGATTTAATTAGCCTGCTGGGTATTTTGTTGAGTCATTATAAACTCGCCCTGTTCAATATCAATGATCTACACTGCCTGATTGACACAAAATTTAAAGTGAGTCACACATAGAAGAAGAAACTCTGCATGGAATGTCATTGTGCTACACCACGTCTGTAAAATAAAAAGACTATCTATAGTATTATGTTTTCAGGTAAGGCAAGAAAAGGCAAGTTTATTTATATAGCACATACTTATTTCATACACAATGGTAATTCAAAGTTTAAGAAAATAAAAAAACAACAAAGAATAAAATTATTATTTTTTAAATTATTAAAATGTGTTAAAAACAGGCTTTAAAGGAACGAAAAAGAAAAGACATAATAGTGTGATCTGCTGGACATAGCGCAGTGCTCATTCAATAAAGAAAAAGCTAAACAGAGTTATTTTTTTAGTATTCATTTAAACGTGGTAAATATCGGAACACATCTGATCATTTCTGGTAGGTGATTACAGCAGAAGGTGGGGGGTGTGGGGGGTTTGACTGAACTCTTGGAAGTTCTAATTTATTTGATCCTAAAGTTTTTAGTGATATGTTTGTATGTAGTGAGCATGTCTCCACTGTATTGAGGTCGTAGGCCATTTAGTTATTTATAGACAAGTAGTAAAACTTTCAAATCTTTTCTGAATGTAACTGGAAGCCAGTGTAAAGACCTGAGGATAAGTGTGATGTGCTCTGATTTTCTGGTTCTGCTTAGAATCCTGGTAGCATGAGCTGTAACTGTCTGACTGTCTTTTTAGGAAGGCCAGTGAGGAGTCCATTACAGTAATCCATCCTGATGCTGATGAAAGTTTCTTTAAGTCCTCACTGAAAACAAAGAATCTAATTCTTGCAATGTTTTGGAGATGATAGTGTGCTGATTTAATTACAGCTTTGACATGACTACTGAAACTCATATCTGAATTCAGAATCACACAAAGACTCTTCACCTTATTTGTTGTTGTTTGACCCTTAGTGCCAAAGTACACATTCCCAAGACAACCTCATCTCAGTTCACAAATGCGATGACTTCAGTTTTCTCTTAGTTTAACTGAAGAAAGGGAGTCAATTTGATTTGTGGTGTATTCACAAGTAAACATTTGTGCTATTTTAGTGAGTGCTTGTGAAAAAGTGTGCTTTTAAGTTTTATAAAGTGTCTGAGGCATATAGAGAGGAAAGACTGTTTCCTACAGAAGGTTTGTTTGTGGTTTGATATTTATTGCATTACAAAAGTATCATTCCATTTTGAGACTGACCTGAACTATGTGGTTGTGACTGAGAAGCTGTTGTGAAGTAGGACTTTCTGCTTTGGTAGACTGCAGCTGTGGCGTCTGAATTAGGCCTGTGCCTGGTGTAGAAACAGCTTGCAAGACTGGCTAAAAAAGACATGGAAATCAAAATGAGCGTTAACACAAGTATACACTGACAGAAAGCAGTTAAAGCTTAAATTTTGGGATACCTGTAGTTTGACATTAGCATTAGGCAGCTGGATGGTAGTGGTATTATTCGCCAGGGGCATTGGAAGAAGGATCTGAGTGCCCCCATGTTGAGTGGTTAGAAGTGTTTGGGGCTGCCCGATGACTTGTGGAACCCCCTGATGGCTGATAATGAACTGACGGAGCGGGGCTGTTGTCACCTGGTTGGGATGGGCCTCCTCAAGCTTAACCAGAGTTGTTGTAGTGTGTGAATTCAGTTTGCAGTTGGGAGGGACAGTGTTTTCTGCTTTGACAGATGCCAACATGATGCTTGGGCCAGAAACGTTGTTATTTTCCACAGATGGAACAACTCCACTTCGTTTCTCCACTTCTAGCTGCATCTTTAGTTCTTCCACCAGTTTCTGCTCCTGCTCCAATTTACGCAGCAATTCCTCAATCTGTCGCTCCTTTTCGTGCAGTCTCCGATCTTGTTCCTCAGGAACAGCATTTGCTTTAATTAAACAGCGGTTTTGAGTCTCTGCTTGTCCTTCCACGGACATGTCCTCCCTGCTGAGAAGCTCTGAGGAACTGGGAGACACTGGTGGAGTGGAACTCAGAGTATTAGAGGGGAGTTGGATGGGGGAGATGGTTGTAGTGGTGCTGGAAACTTCCATAGGTGTACCGCAGGGCTGTGTTTTAGGTCCTGTGGAGGAGTTGTTGGGTGCAGTAGTGATAGGATTTTCTTGGAAAGGCTTGAGCCGTTCAATAAGGTCAGTTTTTGTTCCTGATACTGGAAGACCACGCAACTTCAACTCCATTTTCAGCTCTGCCACCTGCCAAAATAAACACATTATTAGTAAAATTAACAAATAAAGTAATTTCTGGGTCTATTACTAACAATTGATGTCACTCAAACTTAATGAATAGGATGCTTACTTAATTTTAGAGTAATATTATTTCCTTGTTTATTTAGTTTTATACACCACTATTTTTTAACATTAAACAACACCTGATAAACATTTAACATTAACAATTTTTTTTCTGAAAAAAAAAAAAAAAAAAAAGAAAACTTACACACCAAAGATGCATTTCATTGATTAAAAGTAATAGTCAATAGTAGGGATACTCCACTCGATTGGCTGATAATAACATTTTATGACTCGATTGGTACTTGTCAATCTGGCTGATCTCATGAACCGATTGCGACTGTTTGTTTATGAGTTTACACACAGACGAAGACACACTTGAGCTCATCAGCAGATGATTACAACACGTGAAGAGGTAAATGATGCGTGGGGGCATGAGTGATCACTGTGCTCATGTCACAGCAGCTAGTTTTTGTCTCTCTGTTGCAAGTGCAACCATTGTACTTCCAGTGCTTTGAGCTGCTGGACACGAGCGGAGCGATCAGCGCTATCTAGTGTCTCATCTAACCATAAGGCCTCTCCTGGAAGCTCTGCCATTCTCCCGCATACTCATAGTGGCCCATGACGCTGGCCAATTAGATAAAATATCCAGCAAATTATGTTAATGAAAGTGAATGAGAAAAAGAACAGATCGCGAGAGGCACAGTGATGTTCTAACAATTATATTTGTTAGGTTAAATAAACAGGGCAGTAAAGAACGTCCCCGCTCTCTCATCGAGCTGCTTTAAGACTGTCCGGAGCTGCGATCATTGAGCTGCTATCAAAAGTTTGAGATGAGCAAAATATTTTAATGGCCTTGCATGTATTTAGGCCTTTTTAATTCAATTGAATTCAATTCAGCTTTATTTTTATAGCGCTTTTACAATGTAGATGTACAATGTAGACAGCTTCACATAAATGGTCATAGTAACTGGATCAGGGTAGTTCAGTTTTTAGTGTTTAAGTTCAGCTCAGTTTAGTTCAGTTCAGTGTGGTTTGAAGTCATTATTGAGAGTCCAAACACTGAAGAGCAAATTCATCTTTTTACATACAAGTACTGAAAGTTCTGTTTTTTTTTTTTTTCATGATATTGCATATGATCAAAACCTTGAGTGTGGTGAGAATGAATGAATGACAGCTTCTGAAGTGTCTGAGAGACATCCCTTTTTTGCACAGTAGCCTGTGTTTTATTTGATAATGTAAGCTATTTTTAAAGATAAATATAATGCATAAAATCATACATTATTTAAATGACTTTATACTGTATGTCTGGGAAGCTTTAATATAAATTGACATTGCACAGATGTTGATGTTTCTCAATGTTTTGCTCTGTTCTACTTGCAGCACACCAAAATATTAAAATTTATAATATTTTTATTTGCATTTTGCACATAGCATATTATGCATTTAATATGCTTTTATTCACTTTATTTTAATGTTTACACACTTCAAAAAGTATTTTCTTTATCAGAATGTCTTGCACTTAACATTTCACACTACATTGTTTGAATCAAGCTTAATTTACAATGTTTTACGTACATTAAGTACAAATATCAGAAATGACAACAGATCATTAAGATTTTATTACTATCAGTTTTAATGTTATTGACTTAATGCACCTGGCAGATTTCATTCATTCATTTTACTTCGGCTTAGTGCCTGATTTATCAGGGGTCGCTACAGTGGAATGAACCACCACTTTCTTGAGAGATTTATGTATTTTTAATTTTAAGTGGTTTGTGTAATGTGTTTTATGGTTGGTAAAATAATTTATAAATGCATCTTTAATATTTTGTTTAACTAATTACACTATCTTGTCCCAATAGTTAGATTTAGAGGCTTTTGCAAAAAAAAAAAAAAAAAAAAAAAAAAAGCACAAGTGGATTTAGCCACTTGAAAGTGTCTAAAGTGTCATTAAAAAAAAAAAAGCTAATTAGTTTACCATCTAATAACCTTGTCATTAACTATAAAATAAAACTTTTGAACCTAATCAGAGGAGAAAATGCCCATTTACATGAAAAGAGGTCTGATGTATTTAGAGGGTTTTGCATCTGAGCACATATATTCAAATATTTTTTACTTATTTAATAAAAAACTTTTTGTAATATAGTACAGTAGTTTATAGGTCCATTTCATTTAGTAAAGAAGTATGGTAAATTCTTATGCATCAAATATAGCCTACACTCCAAACCTTTTCTTCATTTAGACATGTTGATTTCTTCGTCCATCCTTTGCAGTGTTTCTAAAGTGCACTGTTAGTCGTTTCTTTAACATGCTTTATCCAATATTTTTTGTATTTTCTGCGTCTGCCAATTACAAGTCCACACTAAACGGTTATAAGAGACGTGTTTAAGAGATTATATGCAACATCCCTAATTTATTCTCTTAGGTAAGGAGATTTATTCTCTTTGGTAAGATCTGGGAAATGTGTTTTAGGCATTATAAAGCTTGAAGCATCGGAATCGATACTCAGTATTGGCTGATCATCATGACAAGGAATCGGTACTTGGTATCGGCTGCAAAAATCCTGATCGGAGCATCCCTAGTAAATACATGTTTAAACCTACTAAAATCCATATTGTTAAAATGATTTTTAAAATAAAATAAATGTTTTTCTTTTCACTTTCATAATCCCGAAAACAGAGTTTCACATAAATATGCACACTTATCTTCAACACTGATTTTTCTTCAACACTAATCTGCATATAACAATGACTTCTTTCAAAAGAATGATCTATTATTAATTGCACTTTGGTAGAAAATAATAATCTCTCTGTACCTTCATCTCCTCCAGGTTGGCTGGTAATATGCCAGCTTTGCGGTTGGACAGAGTACTATTGGGCCGCACAGGTGTTGTTGTGGGCAGAGAAACTACAATCGAGGCAGGAAGGCTATTGGCATTGTTGATAGCCACTGTGGCACTGCTGTTTTGGCCTTCAATCACAGGCCTGGTGAGGTGGGAAGCAGATGAGAAAACAGGAGTGAAACAATAATCAACATCACAACAGGAACTATTCGTTCGCTCACCCAATCTCAATAAATAAACATGATCAAACAATGCAGAGGCAGAAAACAACAGGCGTCGTAGGAAAATAAATAATGCAGAATAAAAGATGGAAAAGGAAGCGGAGGACTAACCTCATCAACTTCCTGCCATTAAGAAAAATCTCTAAACAAGATTTGTTATTGGAAAATAGGTAATGGTCCTCAGGGCAACAAAAGGGTTTAGACATTTTCCAGCTAAAATCATTCATATGCAGTCAACTAAACTCATCCTAATGGGGAGCTTCAAAAGCAAAAGAAGACATTTATCAAATTAAGAAAGACAAATGCCAAATGGTTTGCATCCACCAAACTGGCAATGCAGTTCTAAACACAAGATCCGGATCTTCTTGCTTACTTGAGAGGTGCAGGAAGGATGGTCTGGTAGTTGTAGTGCTGCTGTTGCTGTTGGCTCAGGATCTGTAGCTGCAAAAATAGCTGCTGTTGTTGTAGTAAACGAGCATACGAGGAGTCCATCGGGGCTTGGTCGGGTTCTTGTTTCTGATCTGGGGGAATGTACTGATGATATTTCAACTTTTTCACACGTGGCTTGGACTCCTTGCTCTTCTTGCTGCGGCTCTTGTCTCCAGGTAACTTGGGCTGACTCTGCTGTAGATCAAACAGAGGTTTGACATCTAAAGTTATTGAATTTAATACATTTTTGTTGAAGCCACAGAAGGCAGATCTTTACTGACCTTTACAAGGGTGGGCCCCGACTTCACAGGGGCTACTGTGACTAGTTGTGGTATGGGAGCTGGAGGGCTAACGGATTGTTCAACGGTGGAAAAGGGCTTGAGGAAATCTGTCGAAGTAGTGGTGACTGCAGGAAAGTGCTGAAAAAAAATAAACAATGAATTTCAGACTTTCTGCTAAAATTGAAAGACCAAATTCCACACAGAAATTCAAAGAGTGTCTTCACATTGAGAATGTAATTCAAAACCGGAAAGAAAACTGTTGTAAAAACATTATTAGATTTTTCAAAACCCCAGCACTAACAACCAAATATACCAACAAGTTTCCAAAATGTTGGCGTAACTGTGAATGTAATAAAGCAAACCATTATCCTATTTTTTGGGAGTGTATGTCTATTCAGGAAAACTAGAAAAAGAAATACAGGAGGTTCTTAAACGTATATTTGAAAGAGATATACCTCTAGAAAGTCAGTTGTTGTATTTTGGCTGTGTAAATCCAGATAAAGTAACGGCAGCCAATAAATACCTGATGCGTGCGCTAATGACTGCCAGTAAAAAAAAAAATCACATGCAAATGACAACAACAAAGAGCGACCAACCTTAAATAATTGAATAGATGCAACTATTGAGATCTATAAAATCACTTCTGTAGTGAATTCAAAGAAGGATTTATTTCGGAGAATGGAAAAAATAGAGGAAATGGGTTGAATATATTTCAGTTAGAAGACCTGACTTTGTTGCTATAAACAAATAGAACATGCTGAACTGATAAATATATGCTAATGTGTGTACACCTTTATGGTTATAAACAGTTGAAATCAGAATTATTAGTCCCTCTGTTTATTTTTTCAGCATATTTCTAAACAGAATAGTTTTAATAACTCATCTCTAATAGCAGATTTATTTTATATTCATTATGATGACAGTAAATCATATTGTACTAGATAATTTTCAAGACACTTCTAAACAGCTTAAAGTGACATTTAAAGGCGTAAGTAAGTTAATGAGGTTAACTAGGCAGGTTAGGGTAATTAGTCAAGTCATTGTATAACGATGGTTTGTTCTGTAGGCCAGCTGTTTCCAACAGGGAGGTCCCGGCCCACAAGGGGGCCTCAGCGAGCTCGTTAGAAGAACAATATTGTTGCTTTAGTTAATTTTATCCCCAAGATGACCAAAGAATTTACAAATTGGATATTAATCCTCCACAAAAAAAAAAAGACAGTCTTACTGATTGGCCTTCAGCTGCTAAAACTAATGACTAGGGTCAGATAAAATACGCGGACATTTTTGGCTATTTCTGTGCAGAGTTTAGTTAAAAATCTGCAGATTTAAGCGGAATGATTTTGGGAGTATCATAACTAAAATCTTAATATATGATATAAAAAGTAATACCATTTTAACTTGTGTTTCATGTTTACGATGCAAATTCAATTAGATCCACTTTATTTGGTAAACAAAGCAAATCTCTCCACATAATTTATCTACTTAAAGACAGAAAATATTACTTTGCTAACTGTATTGTAAATAAATCATTTAAATATTTTAATATTAGTCAATAATATTACTGAAATTAATTTAAAAACTGAACAAATATGAATTTATATATATATATATATATATATATTTACACAAGTAAATAAACAGAATCAATGATGGGCTAAAAATCAGCAGAATTCTGTGGAATTCTGCGTGTGCAGGTTCCGTGTGGACCTAATGACCCAAGCATAATGGACCCAGGTTAGGAAGCTCCAAAAATTTCTGACTTTAACTGTATATTCACATTGTATTCTATGTTATCCTCATGTGTATAATGAGGGTGGTCATTTGAGATAATTCTGGAAGGAATTATATTATGACATGCGTTCTTACCCTGGATGTAAATAGTGTTTTTATTATTTTCTTTAGTTTATGCAATTTTTTCTTTTTATAATGTAACAAAATCTGTGTACTATGTATAGTTTATACACCTGACAATAATAAATGTAAATTGTATGTCACTTAAGCTCACATACTGCACTTCAAATGTACCTTGAAATATTTATATTACATAAAGTAAAAGTCATGTGTCATTACAAAGACAGACACACAACACAATGTACCCACGATATATTCCACTAGGGCTGGGCGATTAATCAAAAAGTGATCCAAATCAACATTCACTTATAATCAATCAAATTTGCCCAGGTCCATTCAAATGACTTTGAAGTAATCGGTCATTATTCGCTTACTTTCCACACCATGTGTGAAGTCATGTGACCACGCTATGTTAAGCCTTTAGTTATACTTATGCAGCCACTTTCCAGCCACATCTGATCTCTGGTCAAGAAGGATGATGGACCCATTTTTGAGCCTTAATTTGCACTACATTGACTATGATTTAAAGCTGCGTCAGAGATGTCTTGTGATGGCAAATTGTCCATTACATTAAAATTGTTATTTACATTAAAATATTTATTTGCACAAGATGCAAGAAATGCACTGTTTAAACTATTATTTACAGGCTTTTTAGTTTATTTTATTTAGAAGAGATACTGCTTATTTTCTACTATTAATGTGAAAAACATTGAAAATAAAAAAAAAATTGTTTCCAAAAGAGCAAGTTATTTATTTATTTAACCTTTTTTATAAGAATAGTGACTGTTTGTTTCAGGCAATCTGTGTCTTAATTTCATTGTTCAATGTTGATGTTCAATAAATAACCATAGATATTAGGCAATGAGTGTTTCCTCCAATTATTTTAAAATCAAGTAATGCACCCTTCGTTCAGAAATCTCTGACTTGTATTATGTGAGCAGCATATTTACAGTACAAAACTTATCAGTAAACTATGAGGGCATAAAAATAAAACAATTATTCATTACTCATAATTGAGTTAAAATGTTCAATTATTCAAGATTTAGATTTTAGGCCAGGTCGCCCAGCATTATATTCTACCATTTGGAGTGTGTCTTTAAACATTCATGCATTTGCATTTATCTTTAGTTGTCACAATGAAATCAAGCGAGTATGAATCCAGACCAACACTAATGTGGCATCGTAAAGCTATCACACTTGGACCATAGTAAACGTGCCCCCTAAAGGTGCTTTGACACTTAGGCCCCGTTTACACTAGTGCGTTTTAGTTTTAAAACGGCGTTTTAGAATGAAAACGATCCGCGTCCACACTCGCGTTTTACCCAGCGTTTCTGAACTGCTCTCCGTCCACACCAAAACGCTGAAAACGCACATCACGTGACCACACACACACACTTTGGCAATCGCTGGAGGCTGGAGCCCATCTACCCAGATGAGAGCTCTGCTAGTCGGACTTCTCATCAAGCATCTCCCGCTGGATCTAATCTCACTATATTTGCTAAACGTGATATTTCATTCATGTTGTTGTCTTTATCTATTGACATATTCCCTGACTTTGGTCATTGGAATCTATTACTTGTTCTCAGGTAACGTGTTTTGGCTGAGCGCAAAGATAAGTTAATGATTAATGTAAGCACGTAGCATTCTGTATATTGACTGATCGCTTGCCTTTATTTCCTATAATGTATAAACTTATTGTATGTTATACTTTTATAATGGCCATTATCGATAATTAAAACTGATATTCAGCAAAAGAGAGGGTGTGTTTCGTATTTTCACTGAAATTGAAAGGAGGCAGTTGTTACCGGCTCCGTTTTGTTATAAATATCCACACAGTGAAGATGACGCTCATGCAGCACGACGCCTCAACATTTCTGCTGTCTGTTTAGTTAAGATTAAAATAAAAATAGGCAGTTCCTTATATCAAGTTTACATTTTATTGTTGAGAAAGTGAAACAACGTAGCCAAGGTGATGTGAATGAAGTTATAAAGTACACTGTTCCCTGTGAAGATTGACGCGTGTCCTCGGTATGTTTTCCATATCAAACTGAGAAGAAGAGATGCAGCCTTGATCAAACTTGCGAAGTCTGAACTTACACGGAGAAGATTCAGGACTGAACTGTGTGTTAGGCTACTTAATATTAAGGAAAAGCCCCAATCAGAGAGGCGAATGTCTGCAGCCCCGCCTCTGTTTTCAGATGTCTCCGTCTTTCCCCATCCACACTGAGACGGAGCAGCAGCGTTTTAGAATGAAAACGGCCTCTCCAGCGGTTTCGAAACGCTCCGTTTTCGGCGCTCGAGAACTCCGGCGTAGTGTGGATGGATGGCATAACCGTAGCAAAACTTATGCGTTTTCAAACTAAAACGCATTAGTGTAAACGGGGCCTTAGTTTGAGTGTCTGGTCTGAACCAGTGTTCGATTACTCCTCCTGCACTGAAGGGGATTGTGTTCACACTGTTATTGGTTGTAAGCCAGCAGCCGTGTGCCCCTGTTGCTAAGTAACGACTATGAAAAAGAAGGTGCTAAAATGGAAAGAACTGTTTGTATCACATTTGTTAAGTCTTTTTTTAACCTTTGGTTTTATAAGCCACTTGAGTCTGTCTATTGCAAAGGCTGAAAATGATCAAAAAAGTGAGCTGTTCATCAAGGTTAGTAGAATGTCTCTCTATACATGCATAGGGTCATTCCTGCTTGTTGCATGAGTGTGCATTCTGAGTCAGCATACACAGTCACACAGCACACACACAAGTGGTCACAAGTCATCAATAGCTGTTCATTTTGTAATTTAGTATGACTGATTCACATCAGAGATGAACCACAGCCCAGACCATCATGATAAGGATAATTTGGGTATGTTGGATTTGCTGAAAAAAAAAAAAAAGAGTATTGTCAAACCAACATGTGTGTGACTGAAGTGCCAAGTCAAAAGCTCAAAGCAAACTTCAGCAGTTAACAGATTTTTTTTAATGTAAACAGTAAACACACACTCAAATGCACACCCTTTCAAAGTAGACTACACTTGCAACTACAAATAAATAAATAAATAAACACAGACAAACATAAAAGAAAGATTGATGCTTTTTTAAGTGATTGCCATTTCTCTCTGTTTCAATCGATAAGGTTGTTTTTACTAATTTAAAGTATTATTGAAGATTTCTTTTAATACAATAGACATGTTGTCACTCTGATTCAATCTTTTTGTTTCTTTTCTGACAAAGCAAATAGTGCAATTTGCAGAAACTTTGTAAGAGGGATGTCAAAACTAATTGTTTCAGAATCGGCTCAGTAATAGATCATAACCTATTTTAATGTACAACGTATCATCTGTTGCATATTCGCTATGCTGCAGTTGCATAATATGGCGAGGAAGGCGGGACACAAATGCGAGTAACTAATAGACTTCAACTAATTAAAAAGCTCACAACTCTGTATGTACACACTTCATTGCTTGTGAGTTTGCTGGGACAGTCTTTCCCAAACACTGATTAATAGAGAGGAAATGGAAGCATATAATGGTTCATCCGAAACGTATTGAAAGCGCTTTATTTTTTCACATTTTGTTATGTTACAGCTTTATTCCAAAATGTATTAAATTCATTCATTTCCTCTAAAGCTACACACAATACCCCATAATGGCAATGTAAAAAAAGATTTTTTGAAATTGTTGCAAATTTACTAAAAATAAAAAACCTGAAAAATAACATGTACATAAGAATTCACAAACTTTGCTCAATATTTTGTTGATGCACCTTTGGCAGAAATTACAGTCTCAAGTCTTTCTCAATATAATGCCACAAGCTTGGCACACCTATCTTTGGGAATTTTTGCCCATTCCTCTTCGCAGCACCTCTCAAGCTCTATCATGTTGGATGGGAAGAGACTGTGTACAGACATTTTCAGATATCTCCTCAGATGTGTAATTGGATTTAGGTCTGGGCTGAACCACTCAAGGACATTGAGTCACTGAGTTGTTGTGAAGCCACTCCATTAATATTTTGGCGGTGTGCTTTGAGTCATCGTCCTGCTGGAAGATGAACCGTTGCTCTAGTTTGAGGTCAAGAGCACTCTGAAGCAGGTCTTCATTCAGGATGTCTCTGTACATTGCTGCGGTCAGCTTTCCCTTTATCCTGACCAGTCTTCCAGTTCCTGCTGCTGAAAAACATCCCCACAGCATGATGCTGCCACCACCATGCTTCACTGTAGGGATGGTATTAGCCAGGTGATGAGTGGTACCAGGTTTTCCCCAAACGTAATGCCTGGCATTTACTCCAAAGAGTACAATTTTAGTCTAATCAGACCAGAGAATTTTGAACTCCGATTAAGCTGCTGAAACATCTCAAGAATGATCAGTGGAAACAGAATGTACCTGAGCTCAATTTAGAGCTTAACGGTAAATGCAAATAATACTTATGTACATGTGACTTTTCAGGTTTTTTTTTCTAATAAATTTGCAACAATTTCAAAAAAACTTTTTTTCACATTGTTATTATGAGGTATTGTGTGAGGAATTTTGAGGAAATAAATTAATTTAATCCATTTTGGAAAAAGCTGTAACATAAAAATGTTAGCTTTTAACCTGCTGGTGAATACATGAGGTGCCGTTATCTTTCATCAGATACATAAGCAATCCACTGAAGCATCATCTGACAGGCATGGTGTTCAATAGATTAAGTGTTTATGTATCTGTGTTTGGCACTATTGATCACCGCTGTTCAAGTGCAATCACAGACGTTTCTGTTAAACGTGTAAACACAATGGCCAATCATAGGTGAACTTGTTTGTGGAAAGCACTGTGGTATTGAATTGAACTGTACCAATGATATTATAATTGTAATCAAGCCAAACTCTAAGACCAGTGTACAGACCCCTACTTTGTAAACTTGGTTAAAAAAATCAGGCAATGCGTGGACAGTATGTGAGTACTATGCTGGTGCTGAATTTTGCATCATGCATTTATGCAAATCGTCACAAAAGTATGAAACCTAAAGAATACATTGGGCTTAAATGTTCTGTCAAAAGTCAAAGGAAGTAATTAGAACTACCTGTAGCAAGTTATTGGGCAGCGGTGAGGTCTCCTCCATAGTCCTGACCTCTGCAGGTGAGGCTGCAGATCCCTGGGACTCCTGACTGGCTGGCTGCTCTGGTGAAAAAGCATCTCCACTGTCTTCATCTATTAGATCTTCTAGAGTTCTAGGGTACTGCATCTGACCATCTACACAAAGAACACAAATTACACAAATGACAATATTTCATAAATGTTTATCCCTTACGCCAATGTAATTAAGCTACAATAGTGTGAATGTTCACCAATTATGGCCTCCTTGAGGCTGGAGTCCACTGGCAGGATGTTCTTTTCCACCAGCTCCATTGGGCCGGGGCGCTGTGCAATCTTCTCATTGAGGTCATCAGCCAGTCGAGCTCTCTTTAGTCTCAACTGGGTGGCCTGCAGTGAAGGCTCTGCCAAGGTCTCTGCCAAACCACCAAAAATTATTGACAATTTGAACAGCAATCACCCAAACCAACACTTGTTTTTACAACAACAACAACAACAACAGCTTTTTAATGCATAAGAATTTAAAATTCATACTTATAAATCCATTACTTCTTTCCTAAAAAGAATTAGGTCCATAAACTACTGCTTATTACAATGCTTATATTACAATTCGTTATATTATTAAATATTCGAGTTAATTTTTTTTTACTTTTTTATTTTATAAACCTAATATTTCCAGCCAGGATTTAATGAACTTTCAATATTGTTGAAAACACAGAACTTTCAGTTCTGATATATAAAAAGATTTCAGTTCTTATGCGTTCTCTGCTTGTAAACTCGTAAACAACAATTGTGATTGGTTCATGAGATCAGCCAGATTAGCGAGCACCAATCAAGTCATGAAATGTGATTATCGATCAGAGGATTCGGAGCATCCCTATTAAATACCAATTCCCTTTTCCCTAATACTATTAACTACTGGCTTATTACTTGCTAATTATTAAGATATAGGCTGTTTAGTATGTATAAAGTATGATCTTACTCTACATGCCTAATCCTAGCCAATGCTTAAACTAAGTACTACCTTACTAAATATTAATAAGCCGAAATTAGAAGTTTTTTGGGCTAAAAGTGTTAGTTAATGATTTGTTAATAGCAAAAATTTTACCTTAAAATAAATTAAAAAAAATCTTAAGATGGTTAATAATATTAAGCATACCTTAAGAAAAAAAACATTAAAAACGTTGCTTTTATTCCAGCTGAACTAAAAAAAAATACAAAAGAAAATTCTGAAACAAAAAATATCAGAAATAACTTATCCTTCAACTGTATGCCTTCAAATGTGATTAAACCTAAATTAAATCTGTTATTGAGATAAAGTGCTAGACTGTTCCATACTTTACTTTTTCTAATACTTTTTTAAAGTATGTACATTTCTTTATGAAAAGCTGGAAACATCAAATTTGTGACTCAATATACAATCAACAGAAAAAACAAATCTCTCAGATTATCCAGTTTTCATTTCAAAGGTGAATGAAAGTAACAACTTTCTTTCTTATTTTTTAAATAATCATTTTAAGCTATCAACACTGGCAAACATATGACTACTAATAAGACAAAACATTACTATTGTGTTTTAATTCTTAGACAAAAAAAATTGTTTTCTGTCCATTCTTTTCAGTGAATCAAATGTAGCCAGATTTCTGAAACAAGTGATGATCTGATTCTTTTAATTGGAACAGTTTAATTTATTGTTATTGGTTTGAGACAACGGAAAATATAATTTAAATAATCAGAACTGACTTAAATTGACAAAATCAATAGTGTTGGAATGGCAACAGCTTTGTTCAAGAAGGGCAGTAGACTCAACAAAACTTTTCCCAGTATGCAGATTAGCTGTCATTACATGCATTGTAAATGGAGGATTACCTTGTAAGATGTGCATGCGGACCAACTCAGCCCTTTCTGGGCGGCTGCGTATTTTGTGCTTTAGGAAATTTTCAGTCTACAGAGAGAAAGGATACAGAGTTTCAGAAAACTAAATCCCTCAGTAATTCAGGGATCAGAAAGAAACCACCATGACAATCTCCTCTGCGCTTTGTAAATAACAAACACATTTACAGAAGGCTTAAGCTATCAAGTCAACTGAGAGGTTCACATGTGTCCCATTACAGAGAGCTGAGGGACCCTGAATAGAATTCAGAAGGGATCAGAGACCCCCAGATGGGGCCGGGTGGATTTCTCTTACCCTGGCTCTCTCAAGGCTGCGAATCTGTTCATGGAAAGCTGCAGGGCTCTTCAGGGCTGTACACACACACAAAAAAGCAAGAAATCAGTCAAGAAAGAGAAAATCAGCCTTGTGCGGACACAAGGCCATCAGCACACACTTCAGCCTCCTTCAGTCGGTCTAAATGCTGTAAAAGTAATTCCAGCTTTATGGATGTGTGACATTAAAAACTTGAAACATAAATGAACAGTATATTAAAACATCCGTTTATATTTTCCAAAAGATAAATAACCACAGAGACATCATAATAATATCCATCTGTAAATGTGTTTTATATTTTAACAAAGGGAATAAACATGCGTGATGGATGTGACCAAAAAAGTTTGCAAATTTACAGTATACACATCATACTTTGTAGAAATTATGTAAATTAAACTGCACAAACCAAAAGAAGCAGAAAAAGAGTTATAAAGATTAGAGTTGTCTTTCTGTAGAACAAACATGATTTATTTTATTTTTAGTGCTGGGCAAAGATCAATCGCAATTAACTGCATCCAAAATAAAAATTAGTTTTGAAAAATTTGTTTTGACATGATATACGTGTGTGAACTGTGAATTATATATATTTATTATGTATACAGTTAATGTCAGAATTATTAGCCCCCGTTTACTTTTTTCTTCAATTTCTGTTTAATGGAGAGAAGATGTTTTTCAACACATTTCTAAACAGAATAGTTTTAATAACTCATTTCTAATGACTGATTTATTTTATCTTTGCTATGATGACAGTAAATAATATTTTACTAGATATTATTCAAGACACTAGTATTCAGCTTAAAGTGACATTTAAAGGCTTAAAAGGCTTAGCTAAATTAATTAGGTTAACTTGGCAGGTTAGGGTAATTAGGCAAGTTATTATATAAAGATAGTTTGGGTTAGGGTTAGGGTCAGGGTTAGACTATCGAAAAAACATATAGCTTAAAGGGGGTAATAATATTGACCTTAAAATGTTTTTTCAAAAATTAAAACTGCTTTTATTCTAGCCGAATTAAACAAATAAGACTTTCTCGCGAAGAAAACATATTATCAGACATACTGTGAACATTTGCCTTGCTCTGTTAAACATTATTTGGGAAATTTTTGAAAAATAAAATAAAATTCAAACTTGTGAAAATTGTGGTACACGGAGAAAGCAATTCCATGCAAAAGTCAACCTTGCCATAAAAAAAAAAAAATGAAGAATGAATGCAATCAACTTTTCACCAAAATAGGTGTTTTGTGTAGGCTTATATTTTACAGTACTGTAAAGCATCTGTCAATGTTTCAAATAATTATATTCAATTTACCAAAGTTACAAAGGTGACAATTTCACATCTGTCACATTCATAACAGAGAGGTGTTACACCCATAATGAAGCTTTTTCCTCATAAATGCAAAAATGTCAAATAAAATAAAATCAATGATTTTTGTTCTATAGTGAGTCAACTCAACATCTGATTAGCATTATTTCTTTGGGTTGTGAAGCTTCATTCACAGATTTTCAACAAAGTATGTTGTATACTGTAAACTCGCTAACTTTTTTTGGTCACATCCCCAACGCATGTTTACTTTCCTCATTTGAAATCTAAAAAGCTTTAAAATTTGATATTTTTTTCTGAGCCCATAACTGGTTAGCTGTTTTAGAAAATATAAACAAATGTTTTAATTTAATGTTAACATATACTTTCTCTGTGTATTTGTGTTTTTACTGCAAATATTACATCCATAATGCTGGGATTGCTCCATACATGAAAACAAAACATCACAAAAAGTTTTGTTACTTAGATATTTAAATTTATATGTAATTTGTAGCATACATCTATATTTTATCTGAATATAAATAAACATTTTCTCAAATATTTGCTTGCTTGTTTGTATTTATACATACATAATAAATATGCATAGCACACACATTTATTATGTCAAACAAACTTTTATGTTTGATGCAATTAGTGGCAATTAATCTTTGCCCAGCACTATTGATTTTATTTTAGATTTTTGCAGTTTTAATAAAAAAACTTAACTAGGTTAATTAGGTTAACTGGGCAGGTTAGTGTAATTAGGCAAGTTATTGTGTAATGAAGGTTTGTTCTGTAGACTATCAAAAAATATATATATATATATATCTTAAAGGGGCTAATAATTTTGTCCCTAAAATCTTTTTTACAAAATTAAAAACTGCTTTTATTCTAGCCGAAATAAAACAAATAAGACTTTCTCCAGAAGAAAAAAATATTATCACACATACTGCGAAAATTTTCTTGCTCTGTTAAACATTATTTTGGAAATATTTAAAAAAGAAAAAAACAAAACAAAGAGGGCTAATAATTCTGACTTCAACTGTAAATCTCTGGTTATTTTTACAGCAGTGTAAAATACAAGCATGCACAAACATCTCGGAAAGGATTTCACTATTTTGGTGAAATGGTTTTAATAGAAAGGTTGACATTTGCATGGAATTGCTCTATAGTGTCTGCCCTCATGAGCAGATGGAGGGCCCACACAGAGATTAGCACACAGACTAAACGGTGCCCTTCGGGTCTCTTAATCCCTGCAAAAAAGGTGCCTTATATTACGTAAGTTATGAAAGAGCATGCAGAGTAGTCTCATTGACCAGCTTGGAGATGAACAGAGAAAATAAAAGAAAAAAGTTCAGCAGGAGTGTGAGAGTTCTCACATGCTGCTTTGTGACTTAAACGGAAAAAAATGAATATGAGCAATAACAAAATGAAGTGTGGTGAGCATTCAAAAAAATAACATACATTGGTCAGCCGTGCCAGCCTTTGAACTACAACTATGAGCGAGAGTAAAAACAACTGATTCAAAAGCAGACGTGGTACAGAAACCACTGCATCAACTGATTTCCTTTCTTAAATGCACATAAACAGAAAGGATTGTTCACATGACTTACAGTGAGCTTCATTATAGACACAAGAGACATTGTGAAAGGCTGTGAGTTTACACAAAAACATGTAATAACGTGTTTTGGACGCCCGGGGTTTTACATTCCACAATTCTCTTTATTATGGTCTCATTGTGTACAATTTCTTGATTATTTAAAATAATAAAAATTATTGCAATAAGGCTGTACAAAATCGTTTATATTTGGTAACTAATCAAGAAATGGTCTACACTGCGACCAGAAAAAGGCAATACAGAAAACATAGTGGTGATAATTGCAGTATTTTTGAATAATATTGTGACTGTGATTTAAGGTGATTTTTCAAAGCTCTTTATCTTGTGTATTATTCAGCTAAGACAGGCAATCAATCATTTAAAGGTGCAGTATGTAAGTTTGACACCCAGGGGTTAAACTAGGTATTGCACTCCTGGTTCAAATCGCACGAAAACACAGGTTGCCAGATTGACGAAACCAACAAGAGCATGCCTGACTATTGAGCCTTAAGGCTGATTTAAGGCTAATTTAAGTTGTGTTCTAACTAAAAGCAATAGGCACGCAGTAAAAGGAATTTTACATATTAAAAGGATTTTTTGTCCAATCCAACACCTGAAACTTATATTTTAAAAACGGCTTCTATTTCTTGCAGCTGAACAACAGGTTAAACTGACAATAATTACCTCAGGTACACCTCGTGTGTTTTATTCAGTGTTAAATGCCAATAATTTGAGTCATTTTTTACATGGCATTTATTACCATACTACTGAAAGCAGCAGCAAATAGTTCACCTTAGATCTTGAAAAAAAAATAAACCGTTTGAAATGGAACAGCATGTACATTTAATAATGGTAAAGTAATGTTTTCTAAAAAATAATGGTTTAATATTTATTAATTAGATTAAAAGCCTTATATTTTGTTAAGGTGCAGTAAGTGCACTATTCTTTGCTTCTGAATGGATTTCAATTTCTGTCATGTTTCGTCTGGTACAAACAGCTAAATAGCTTATCACTGCAAATCTTGCCACGTAGCGTGTTGTTAGGACACAGGGCTACAGTGTAACCTGCTCACTTAATGTTTACATTTGTAATATTTATATTATTTGCTAGTTAATAACTACTTTATGTGGAACTCTGAATCTGTGTCTCATTTTGGAGTCTGCTACTGTCCACCTGATGTTGCATTTTGGTCACAAGCACATGCTTTGAAAGCCTTCTTGACTGAATGAATCAAATAAGCTGTTTTCCACAAGGGCAACCCGGACTGCTGAAATTTAATTGATAAACTGGCATTGGGTGGGTTAAAGGTACCAAAACAAAGACAGACGTTCCGGCATATAACGCACATTTTCAGAATATCTGACTTTAGCATTATTCTTCAGATAAACAAGAATGTTCACTTAACATGTTTCTTAAATATCTGCAAATATATTATAGTATTTTTATGCTTTAGAAGACTCAAAAACTTACATAAAGCACCTTTAATACTATGACCAACAAAATAATAGTGTGTTCTTTTAAAAATGAAATATTGGCCACGCAAAACAAAAACAAAGCCTTTTTTTTTTACAAATTGTTTACAATTTTTTTTTAACGAAAGTTTACAAATTGTTATAGTAACCTAAGGACTCTTTAATCAAACAGGTTTATCTATGTGTGCAAAGCATTTATTATGCTGATTATTATATGATAGGGATGTAACGGTATCAGAATTTCACGGTACGGTAATACCTCGGTATGAATGTCACGGTACGGTATTTATTGAATCATTTACAGGAAAAAAAAAACTTTTGAAAATACTCCAAAAAAGTGCCAAAAGTGTCAATGACATACAAATTAGCCATCTATCTGTTAGCTTTGAAACAGGAACTTAAATTTTAATAACAAAAAATTATTAAACCATGTAAAAAAAATAAAGTTTCAATTTAGTATTGTTAAAAACTCATTACATTTAACATTTAATCACTCACTTAGATAGAGATGGGTTTAAAGGAAAATTATCATATAACTATAATCTGGTAAAAGCTGGTATCTCTGGGTATTTACAATGTCCCCTGCAACAGAAAAAACCCCTCTCATTTGGGACTGAGGATTCTGGGACAAGAGAGATATGACTTGGCCCATGTTGACAGCAGTGGGGTAACGTTGTGCATTGTCTTTCCCCCACTTGAGAGGACAAACCATGAGTGAGATAGAGATCTCTTTGCGGTACAAGTCAATATCTGCATCAATCTGAACAGTGTGCTGTGTTTCTGCAGTCCCCATGACTGTTATTAGTCGTATTCCCCAACTTGCAGGCACGTGCACACATAGGGCTCAACCTGTGCAGTGTACATGCCCTTTTTAGTCTTGGATAGAAAATGCCCTTCCAAAACGATCAAAAGTGCCCCCGCGACGCGACACAACCTCCGTCCAGTCCAGCCCTTCAGTAGGCGCGCGATAACACCTCTCTTGAGTATGCGCGCTCAACCCCCCCTCGGCGCTTTACAATACGCGCGCCACAACACAGCTGATCAGAACGCGCGCGACAGCACCGCTATTCAGCACGCGCGCGGCGACAACACCCGCTTTAGGTTCGATCATTTCCATCTTTTTTTCATCTCCGCTACTAGCAGCACACTCCATTTCCGCATTACTGGATCTGTAGCGACAACAGATCGCAAAGGATTATGGCCACGCCGGGGCTGATGGGAAATGAAGTTTCAGCTACCTCCCGTTCGCTTCATTCGCCTGAGCAAATTTTCTCAGAAGACCTATAGTTTTACCGAGTCATGCGACTTCGGTAATATCGAAAAAATTTAATATTGCGGTATGACGGTATTTACAATACCGTTACATCCCTATTATATGATTAACAAATCACATCACTTGACTACATTACACTAGCAAAAATTAATTTTAGCAATAATTTGTGTGTGTAAAAACTGGAGAAAGGCTCAAGAATACTCCACGCACCACTGCTAGATAGTGCTATTAATTTGCGTTGTTTTTAGTGAAGAATGAATGTGCACGTTTAAAAGCAATTTTATAATCCTGCATATATAAAGCAGCTCCCTGATGCGTGCAATATGCAGTTGAAGTCCGAATTATTAGCCCCCTTTTGATTTTTTCTTTTTTAAATATTTCCCAATTGATGTTTAGCAAAGCAAAGACATTTTCACAGTATGTCTGATAATATTTTTCCCTCTGGGGAAAGTCTTATTTGTTTTATTTCAGCTAGAATTAAAGCAGTTTATAATTTTTTAAAATATATTTAAGGTAAAAATTATTAGCCCCTTTAAGCTATATGTTTTTTAATTGTCTACAGTACAAACCATCGATATACAATAACTTGCCTAATTACCCTAACCTGCCTAGTTAACCTAATTAACCTAGTTAAGCCTTTAAATGTCACTTTAAGCTGTATAGAAGTGTCTTGAAAAATATCTAGTAAAATATTATTTACTGTCATTACCAATAATTCAGGGGGGCTAATAATTCTGACTTCAACTGTATCAAAACAATATGGGTATATTGCATACACAGATAATCCAAACGATAAGTGTTGAGGGTAAAGCATTACAAGTATTGTGAGTTATGTAATAATACTACTTTTCTAAGTAATGAGTAAAAGTAACCTATAACCAAAATAAAAAGTAATAATATTTATTTTTTAAATTAAAATAAAATTTAAAATTAGAATTAAAATGAACATGGTCGCATTGAATCAAGCACTCAATAAGAAAATTTGCTTCCTGCAGGAACAGGCAGAAACCAAGTTGTCAGAGCCTTACATTTCTGCGATAAAAGTATTCTCAATATTTTAAATGCATCAAAGAAAAAGGGCATTGTCTCAATGGACAGTGACTTTTCATTAATCTGTATGGCCCAGCTCTGGGGTCAGTATTATTTTTTAATGTGTTTTTTAAAAAAGTAAATTAAGGTTATACGGCGTGTTTTTTATTATTATAATAATTTTATTTTTTTTTAAATCGCAGAGCTCTTCTGTTTAAAAAAAACTGAAGAAAAAAAACTGCAAGTTCTGAAAGAGATCCAGCCTCAGCCAGGTAATAAAAAGTACCTCAAAAGTAAGTCAGACGTAATGTAATATATTACTTACCATAAAAAGTAACTAAGTAATGCAACTAGTTACTTTTTGAGCGGAGTACTTCATTATTGTAATGCATTACTTTCAAAATGAACTTTCCCCAACACGGTCAATGATGGCTGAAAATATAAAAATTCATAACCCAATGCGTGCCCTGCAGTCTACTTTTTTCTCATGTCACGTGACCACGGGTAATCGCAACATTAGGAGCTTAAACATTTTGTTGCTGTTTTTTTCGTTTAGAGATTTTATTGCAAATACAATAAGTCATTCAACATTACTTTGTAAATCATGTCATGCCATACTTATTTTTTTTTCTGGATTATAAGAGAAAAATGGTTCAGAGAATGGCTTTTCAGAACTACGACTTGCCATTTTCAGATATTTGTTTTCATTAGCAGTTTTCATGAAAGAGTAAATATGAATCATCTCTCTCCTATGCAGGGGCCTGCAGCAGCTTTAGATGGCAGAAGCAGTACTCACGTGGCATGATGCCCTGTTCAACGAGCTGCTCCCGGGTGCGTCTCTGCTGGAGCCTCAGCTGGAGAACTGGTGGACAGAAGCAAAAGCAGGGTTACGTTCTTGACCCAACCTCTACAATAGCTTTGACAACATTATATTACACACAAAAAAGGGACTTTTCCACTTGATTAACACACCTACACACAGACAACAAACGAATATCTAACCTTTAGCACAACCGAAATTACACACATTTCCTCTCTAGCATTACATAAGAGCCACCATTCATGAGGAGGAAAAAAAAACTAGACGTTCTTCCTGCTACCAAAACAACAGGCTCTTAAACGACCCTTTTGAAGCATGCTGTTTGGAAGGTTTCCTGGGAAAATTCTCAAGACATTTTTCTTTGCCCTTTTCGGCTGAGTCCCCCGGATTTACTTGGCTGATTATGAAAACAGCTCAAATTGGTCAAGAAAGAAAGACAACATGATAACGCTTGACATTTATCAAGAGTCATGAGCTCAGAGAATTTGTGAGCATATGATGGCAGGTCCTACATGTAACTGGACATTTTTGTTAATGCAGAGTCCTTGTAGCTCATTGTGGCTCTAAAAACATTATGCACAGGGGTCAAAGACGAAATGGGGTTTGCAGACATAAATAATAAGATTGCAACGCAGCTCTACAGTTAGCTTTTTTCCCTGTATGAAAGAATGTGTGCTGTTACATTTATTAAAGCAAAATATTGTGACCACTATGCTTTTTTGTCAAGTTTTATAGAATATTTACAAAAATATTGCATTTAAGTGTAACAATGGTATATTAATCAAAACAAATACAAACAAATCATCTGATGAAATTTGAAAGGGTAAGTTCACCCAAATATTAATATTATGTTATTAATTACCATCGCATCATTTCAACCCTTGATGGTAAGCTCACATCAGTCATGGATGAAGCGTCAAGTGTGAGTGATTTACATGTTAATTTAAGGCTGGACGATTAATCGAAAAGTAATCTAAATCTTTCAAATTTCAAATTTCAAAAACCTATAATCAATGAATTTTTTTTTTCTCAATTACTTTCCCTGTTTGTCACGTGACCCTGCTCTATTAAAGTCTGTGGCTGATTTCCACTTCTGTTGCCACTTTGCAGCCACATCTGATCTCTGGTCAAGTAGGACAATGAACTCATTCTTGAGCCTAAAGCAGGTCGCACACCAGAAGCGCCGCTCGGCGCCGCGACACGGCGCGCACATGACAGTTTAAAGTATCACACACCAGACGCGCACATTCGAATGATATTTAACATGAAACTAATCAGATGGCGCTCTGTGGCGCGGCTGAAAAATGAACTGTGTCCTGAGCCGTCGCCGGGCGCCGCCGACAGCCGCCGTCTTGCGGCGCCGGTGTGTGTATCCTGATAGAAACCTATGTTTAGAATTCTAAAATGCATGGCGTTGCGTGGCGCGCCGCTTCTGGTGTGCGACCTACTTTGTACTACATTGACAATGATTGGAGGCTGCGCCAGAGATGCTTTTATATGGCAGTTAAACTTGTCAGAAAACTATGAGGGCAAAAAAAAAAAAGATAAATAAAATAATCGTGATCGAGTTAAAATGTTCAATTAATCGAGATTTTGATTTTAGCCCAAATCCCCCAGCCCTATGTTAATTCTAAATTAATATATTATATGAATAGATGCGATATTTGCACGATGACGTAATTCGTGTCAATGACATGCCGCAAATTAAGCATTTCAGCCATTTGATGCACTTAATGTGCAATTAGTGCAAATCTCTGAAGCAGAAAAAAATCTTTTGCAGAACTTTGGTGGACATTTGTGCCTTGTTAACCAATCAGGAGCTTGATTATGATGTAGTGCCTAAAGTTGGTGTCCTGAGGGGGAATCCTTCTGTCAACATGTGATGACAGCTCATCAAACTGTGACCGGCTTGTCAGTTGATGAGCTTACAAAGCTGGGTACTCCTCAGAAATATCTAATGGGGCCAGGCACGACGCCAAACAAATCTAATCTGTATTTCAGCTTTACTAAAGCACATAAATTGCAGTTACTTTCTTAATAAAATCCATGTCAGCCATTAGCAACAAAACTAGAGTCACCAGGCAAACATACACCCCTCTAATTAAATGAATCGAACTCTATTATGAAGTGAATTTCACACGTGAATGAAGCGGGCAAATTCAAAATGCTCATGTGTCTAATTACGCACAAATAGCAAATCTATTTGCGCAAGCCCTGTCTGTTGTAAATGCACATTTGTACATATTAACTACAAATTAAAGGTGCAGTATGAAAGTTTGAAACCACTCAGTGTTTGAACTAGGTATTGCACATCTGGTTCAAAACAAACACAAGCGCAGGTTGCCAGATTGATGACACCAACAGTGTGCCTGACTGTCGAGCCTAAAGGCTGATTTAAATCATGTTCTAAATAAAAGCAACGACATGCGATTAAATGAATCCTTTCCATATTAAAAGGAATTTCTGTTCTAACCAACACCTGAAATTCATATTTTAGAAACTGCTTCTAATTGTTGAAATATAATTGGCTAATCTGGCAATGGGTGGGTTAAATGACCAAAACAAAGACAGACGTACCGGCACGTAACACACATTTTCAAAGCAGAATATCTGACTTTAGCACCGTTTTTCAGATAAACAAGAATTTTCATTTACCATGTTTCCTAAATATCTGCAAACATGTTATGGTATTTTTAAGCTTTAGAAAAGTCAAAAACTTACATACAGCACCTTAAGATATTTTTGATGTAATCTAAAAGCGCCCTCATCCTCCAAAGACAGCAAGAATCTTATCTTTTTAAAAACCTCAAAACAGGCCGTATGCCTTCACTTGGTTCAATCAGAACATTAAGAAGCTACAAGAATACTTGTGTGCGCACATAAAACAGAAATAGCATCTTTATTCAATATTTTCTGGTCCTCAGGATGTTTTTTGGTACCTTTTAACTTTTGCCGTCTATGGATGATCAGGGAGCTCTCAGATTTCAACCAAAATGTCCTAATTTGTGTTGTCTCAGAGCTTCGGAACAACAAGAGGTTAAGTAATTTTTGGATGAAGTAACAATTTAGGGATCAAAGCAGAGCCTTAAATAGTAAATCATGGATTTTTAATGATTAAATTATCCTTTTACATTTTTACCAATCTTTGCCATAATCCTTTTTAATTTTCCATTAAGAACTTGATAAATAAAAACTATAGTATTATTATTTATATTTTCCAATAAGTATAGGCCAAAATAAATGTTTTCATTTTTAAACGAATATAATCCTTGAATGAAGATGTTAAAACATCACTTCACTCATTTTTTCTTTCACATATGCTATTTGAAACATTGAAGCAGACACTTTACTTGAAATTTTTTTTCAAACTAAATTTCACGTAGAGACCAACACAAGATCTTTTATTCATATACATTATGCATACTGATGTAACTTGCTGTAAGCCTGTGCCAGTGTCACAAAAATGTTGAATGAAGGAACACGGAGGTTTAGTTCAAATAAAAAAACATTTTTTGCCCACTATGAGTCAGTTTACAGTTAACAAGGTCAGCTGAGGTTAAGTAAACGAAACTTTAGAGGCTGCTGAGAACACATAGATGGCATTTTATAGTTTTCACTATGAATCGTTGCACTTAAAGCTAAAGTGTGCAAGTTCTGCCCCAATTGTGCCACCAAAGGGATCTGTATAAAAACAAACTGTATTATTAATTTTAAACACTTTGTAATGACTGAGAAAATACTTTACGCTGAAAAATGACACTGAGGAGAAGACAGAATGTTCCATGAAGGAGATAATAACGTGGGCCTCTGCATTCCTGGTGCCCAGACTACAAATGACTCAACATTGACCTTGATTCTAATCAGGTTAATTTTTTACTTGCTGCAAAAGGAGAAAAAAAAATGTTTACGTCTCCTTGATTGCAAAACATAACGTGCAGCTTTTTAGATTGGGTTATTCCCCACAATGAACAAAATGCCTTACATCATCATGGTGAAACCCAAGACAGCATGATGTCAGCATTTTATAAAATTTATTTTTAAGATTTTGGAGTTCTAAATGTTTGCTAAAAAAAGGCAAACACATTGACTAGATGGTTTCAAGGCAGATATATGAGGAACTAATTTTGCAGATTAAGATATATTCCAGGATCAATGCTCTTTGTTGATACTTGAGCAAGAATTTAAAAACACAGTCCTAACCATGCCCCTACCGCTAAACCCAACTCTACCCAGAACTTGTCTCGTAATGTTTTATGACCAGAGAAGAAAGCCAAAATCCACAGTTTATAAACTTGAGATTTACTATAAACATTTCCCTCAAATCTGATTGGTTGAGTAAAATGTTCCACGATCAACCTGGGTGTTGAAATCATGTGCACCATAATTGATGTATTTCATATTAATATATAACAGCAGGTACACACACACAATTTTTCATAAGTTGAATTCAGTCATTTATTTAGTATTGATAATTTTAAATAGCTAAAGAGTCTGTAAAAATCTTCATAATCTTACAAAAAGTTACAATTAGTTTAATTAGAATAAGTGCCGTTTCTTTTAAACTTGTTGTTTTCATTAAGGGATAAGGAATGCACCAAATTAGAAATTTTGACAGATACTAATATAAACATGTTTAAAAGTCGCTAATCTTGCTATTCTGTTGTCCACTTATTTATGATTAGGAACTTCCACACTGTCAAAAACCTGTCTTCCCTTTAGCATAAGCTCTAATTTATTAACATAAGCACACATGCTGGTTGCGGCATGTCATGTGATCAGGTAGAAGGGACCAACCAAATCATGGCATGCATCTGAAGATCAACTGATGAAATAATCCATCCTTGTTGAGCCAAAAATAAATAAATAAATAAATAAATAAAAACAACAGCATTAAACAATCATGTCTGATATCAACATGGCTGACAATGTATTTTGCATCACTAGCAAAAATAAGTACCTTGAACATATAATAAGCAAAATGTCTTGGTCTCCACATTAATAAAACTACCAAGTTATATTGAACTTAAAAAAACAACAACACA